GAGCTTCCTCCAGGTCTCCCACGCTGCTGCAGGGGCCCAAGCACTTGGGCCATCTTCCACGGCTTTCCCAGGCCATAACAGAGAGCTGGGTCAGAAGTGGAGTAGCCGGGACTCCAACCGGCGTTCACATGGGATGCCGGCACTGCAGGCGGCAGCTTTACCCGTTATGCCACAACGCCGGCTCCTTGGTTGATACTTAATCCTGGTGGGTTAAGCTTCCCTAAGGGTAGAGACTTTGGAGATACTTGGGTTTGAATATTGACTCTTGAATATTGACATTCCCCAGCAGCCATTTAGGGAGTGAACCAGTGATGGAAGATTCTCTCTCTCCTTCCCTCTCTCTCTCTCTGCCTCTCTGTAACTCTGCCTTTCAAATAAATAGATACATCTTTAAAAAAAAATAAGTAACCATGCACCCAGTGGACATTTCTGTTATTGTTTTGGTTCTTGGTCATCTTCTCATAGACAGGAGGCAGATAATTGCTCTATGTATCTCTCCCAGGGCTGAGCAGTGTCTTTCACAAGATAAGTGCTGGAACTTTGTTGAAAGGATAATATTTACTCTGCAATGAAAGACCTGATTTTATTGCCAAAGTAAAGATAAATAGTAATTATCACAGAGATCACATTGGAAGGGCGGGCATGTGGCCTAACAGTTAAGATAACTCATGGGCCGGTGCCATGGCTCACTTGGCTAATCCTCCGCCTGCGACGCCAGCATCCCTTATGGGCGCTGGTTCTATTCCCAATTGCTCCTCTTCCAGTCCAGCTCTCTGCTGTGGCCTGGGAAGGCAGTGGAGGATGGCCCAAGTACTTGGGCCCCTGCACCTGTATGGGAGACCAGAAGGAAGCACCTGGCTCCTGGCTTCTGATCAGCATAGCTCTGGCCGTAGCAGCCATTTGAGGGGTGAACCAAAGGAAGGAAGACCTTCTGTCTCTCTCTCTCACTGTCTAACTCTGTCAAAAAACAGAAAATAGAGATAACTCACATCACACATTGCAAGTTTGATTCATGGCTCCAATTCCTGACTCCACCTTCCTGCCAATGCAGACCCTGGGAGGCAGGGGTGATGGTTCAAGGAATTGGGTTCCTGCCACCCACGTGGAACTAGTTTCCAGCTCCCAGCTTCTGCCTAAGACCTTGCGAACACTGGGCAGTGAACCAGCAGATGGGGACCTTCTCTCCCTGTCTCTCTGTGTGTCTCTCTCTGCCTCTCAAATGAATAAATAAAATAAATTATATTTGAGTGCTTACTATGTGCCAGGCACTATGCTAAGCAGTTTTCATAGAGAATTTATTTCATTTGTCACAATGATATGTGAAATAGGTACTATTTTTTATCAATTTTTTAAAAAGATTGTTTGAGAGGCAGATCAGAGAGAGAGAGAGAGAGAGGGAGAGACAGAGAGAAGTCTTCCAACTGCTGGGCCACAAGAACCAGAGCTGGGCCAATCCAAAGCCAGGAGCCAGGAGCTTCCTCCAGGCCTTCCACGCTGCTGCAGGGGCCCAAGCACTTGGGCTATCCTCCACTGCTTTCCCAGGCCACAGCAGAGAGCTGGATTGGAAGAGGAGCAGCCAGAACATAAATTGGTGCCCATATGGGATGCTGGTGCCATGGGTGCCACGGCAGAGGCTTGACACACTGCACCACAGCGCCGGCCCCTTTATCAGCTTTTTAAAGCTGAGACAGTAAGTGGAGGGGCTGGGATTCAAACCCAAGGGTATTAGTCTGCCCTTATAGACTGGGTGGCTTAAATAACAGAAATCTGTATTCTCACAGTTCTGGAGGCTTAAATCTAAGCTGAAGTTGCCAGCATGGTCAGTTTCAGTTTCTTTCCTTGGTTTACAATCTATTAATTTGTGAGCCTATGTCTATGCAGTCACCCTGGGAGTTAGGACTTCACCATAGGAATCCTGGGGTTGGGGGTATAAACATTCTATTCATAACAGTAGCACTGTCTGACACCGTGCTGGGAAGACAGGGCCTGGAAAAGACAGTCATCAGTCGGCCAGAACCTCTGATTTGTTCTGACACTCTGTTGGGGACGGCTTTGGTGGGGAAGGGACAGTGTATAATTTGCTTCATTTGTTAGTCAGGAACTGTAATCCAAATAGGGCTGCCAGCCTTTCAGACCAGAAGCATCTCTCTCAGGGGGCTTTGACAGGGGACACTTGAAAGTGTTCCTGGATTGAGAAGGCCAGCTAAGCTTGCAGTTTAGATGAAAAGGGAGAGAATCTGGAAGAGGAAAAGAAGAGAGTAATCTGACTTCAGAAGCCAGGACTCAGACCCAGTTTCTTTTTATTTAGCCCCAGAAAATCAGAAATGGTTTGCTGGGAGCCCCAGCAGCCTTTCCAGCTGACAGCAGCAGGTAGAGGGAAAGTTTCTTTGAAGCCCCTCCACGGATGTCATTTGGGCAATGCTGATCTGACCTGTGTTTGTGGTCAGACTGTTTTGTTCCTGATCATTATTCCCAAGAAGGAATGAAAACTGTCTGCACAAGTATTTCATGCTCCCCCTTCATCTCCCTTCTTGGTAGAAGCACACAGTTTAGTCAGGACATTTGCTTGCACTGCAGTTTCTTACTTAAAGGACTCCTGGTGTGTTTTCAGTAACTCCTTTGTCAGTTGCAGGGGGTGGCCCTGCAGATTGTACTGATATTTCTGAATACCATTAAGCCAGACAACCGCTGGGGTCGATTTGTCTTCTGAAAATCAGTCAATTATAGAAGGTTAGCTGGAGCGGAATTCACAAGACACACATTTTGTAGAAAGGGACAAGGAGTTGCAAAGGAGCTATGGTTTTGAGCTCTTGGAGTAGTATTTATTTATTTTTAAGATCTAGTTATTTTATTTTAAAGATAGGGCTACAGAGAGAGGAGAGACCAAAACAAAAACTCTCCAAGTGGCTTAACCCACTGCACTACAATATAGCTCTGGAATAGTATTTAAATCATGGTTCCATTCTTCATGAACATTTTTGGTATTTGCAATTTTTTTTTGAAAGATGGAGAGATAGACAGAAATCTATTTACTAGATAACTCCCCAACACTCTGCAAGAGTCAGGACTGGGCAGGCAGACGCCAGGAACTCAATTCGGGTTTTCTATGTGGGTGTCAGGGACCCAAGTACTTGAACCTCACCTGCTGCCTCCCTGGTATTGGATTTGGAAGCTGAATTGGATTTGGAGTCCAGGCACTCCAGTATGGGATATGGGCATCCTGTCACCTTAACCATTGCACCAAATGCCAGCCCCTGACTTTTTTCAATTATAAACAAGTGAGTGACTCACTTGCTGTTTCTTGGGATTTTTTTAAGATCAGAATTTTCTGTTTGGTATTTAATCCCCACTGATCCAGAGACTTAAAATAAGCAGACTCCCCTCCCCCACATTTTTGTTTTTTTTTTTTTCTTTCTGGAAATAGATCAAGACCTTAAACTGAATTTCCAAAGATCCAGAATGGGAAATAAAAGCTGCTTTGAGCTAATTTAGAAGAACATGGAGGGGCTGGTGCTGTGGTGCAGCGGGTTAACGCCCCGGCATGAAGTGCCGGCATCCAATATAGGCGTCGGTTTTAGTCCCGGCTGCTCCACTTCCGATCCAGCTCTCTGCTGTTGCGGCTGCTCCACTTCTGATCCAGCTCTCTGCTGTGGCCTGGGATAGCAGTGGAGGATGGCCCAAGTGCTTGGGCCCTGCACCCATGTGGGAGACCTGGAAGAAGCTCCTGGCTCCTGATCGGCACAGTTCTGGCCGTTGCGGCCATCTGGGGAGTGAACCAGAGCATGGAAGACCTCTCTCTTCTGCTTCTCCTCTCTGTGTAACTCTCTCAAGTAAAAATTAAATAAATCTTTAAAAAGAAAAAAAGAACATGGAAATAGTGATAAGAGTGTCCACTATCCAGAGAGTAATTAAGGCCCCCCCCCCCCCTTTTCACCAAGGTAGGGCAGAACCCATGGTGTGTAATACTATGCTCATTCTTGGGCATGTTATCTTCAGTTTGCAATGTAGGCCAAAGCCACCATCAGATGGATTTGCTTGTTATCAAACACAATGTCCCAAGCCACAGCAACAAAGAGGATTATTTATATAAGTGAAGGTCACACCATTAGACAGAAGTTGTGGTTCTTGGGCAGTAGTTGGCAAACTCACGGCCACATCTGACCCACCACCTGTTTCGTAAATAAAGTTTGATTGGAACACAGCCCTGTCTACTTGCTTACATATTGTCCACGGTTGCTTTTGTGTTACAGGAGTAGCAATGACTAGTTATAACAGAGGCCGTATGACGACAAAGTCTGAAATATTTACTATCTGGTCCTTCGGAGAAAATGTTTCTGAATCCCTTCTTATATTATGGGCCCATGTATCTTAATCTTTATTCCAGGTTCCTGCCCCCACAGAGGTAATAATTCAAAGCAGAGGCACAACACAGTGCACAAGTGACAGAAGGATTTGCTCAAGAGAGAGTATACATTCACCTGTGAGTGAAAGGGGGCACCCCCTTCCCATTATGATCTCCTTTATGAGGTTGGGGTGGTGCCCTAATTGAATAAACAAACAGGGTAAAATTTAGCGTTTGCAAGCTTTCTGTTGGTTGCATGGCACCTCCACATGGAGTTTAACTTCCACGTGGGCTTCATGCCATCTCCTCTTCCTGGTCCCAGATGAGATGCAGGTGCATCAAGGGAAAGTGGATGCACTGATTGACAGGAAAGGGGGTAGAGTTACAGTGCAGGCCTGGCAGAAATGCCAACCATTCCTGCCCAGTTCCCCCATAGCTCCTTACTTTAAAAGACCGCTCAGTTCCGTTCCCAGCTCCCCATCTGCTGGCCTAGGCAGGGGGCAAGCTGTTCTCAAACATCAGGTGAAGAACCACCACTCAAGCTCTGACAAGGCTGTTTTCCTCCGGTGTGAAAAATGTTGCCATCCATTCATGCTTGAACCACAGGTTTAAGTAAGATATAAACAGGTAAACTGTATTATTAACAGGAGCCAGAAAAGAAATATATAAGAACTTTATTTTTAAAGCCTTAAATTAGCAACAATTAGAGGGGAATCTTCTTTAACTTGAGCTTTTCTTCAACATTTGAAAAGTATCTCATCTTTGTTAAAATTTCCTTGGCCTTTTCAAAGTCATCTGAAATAAACAAGAGATACTGATGTAAGGTTTCATTTCAAGAACCAGAGCTGGCCACCAAGGCAGTCTGATCAAAGCTAAGCACTGGCTCGAGGGTGCATCAATTACTCAGTAAATAAATCCGAGCAACAGAGAGGGAGAACATCTAGATTGCTAAAAGGGATTAACCAAAAGGGGGAAGATTATGGTTGTTTACAGAATTCAGATAAATGAGAGAAGAGAAAAGCTGATTCTCTTCAAGACGGGGCCAAGTAACCAATGGGTTTTATTTTAAAAGTTTTCCCCCTGGGGCCAGCATTGTGGCGAGTAGATTAAGCCACCGCCTGTGATGTGGGTATCCTATATGAGTGACGGTTGGAGTCCTGGCTGCTCTACTTCCAATCCAGATCCTGGCTAATGTGCCCAAGAAGACGGTGGAGGATGGCTCCTGCCATCCCTGTGGGAGGCCCGGATGGAGTCCCTGGCTCCTGGATATGGCCTGGCTCAGCCCTGGCTGTTGCTGCCATTTGAGGAGTGAACCAGCAGATAAAGATCTCTCTCTTTCTTTCTGTAGCTTTGTCTTTCAAATCAATAAAGTAAATCTTGGAAAAAAATTTTCCCCTAACACATGTAGAGGAATAACAATGAAAAGGATGTGGACCCCCAGAGTGCTTCCTCTATGCCGAAGCACGAGCTGCCCTCAGAGGCTTCCAGGCTGTAGGAATGATGCCTCTCAACAAGTGATTCTGCCCTGAAGGGGGTGTCTGGCAGTGTTTGGAGATGCTTTTGGTTGCTGCAACTGGGGAAGTGGTGCTGACATCTACAGTGCACAGGACAGCCTCCCACAGCAAAGAATGTTCTGGATCAGGGGCAAGCACTTAGTGCAGCGGTTAAAATGCTGCTTGGGATGCCTGTAGCCTGTATCAGTGCTTCCATTTGAGTCCTGGCTGTACTTGATTCCAGCTTCCTGCTAATGGCCAAGAACCTGGAACTCAATCAGGGTCTCCCACATAGTGGCAGGGACTCAATTATTTGAACCATCATCTCTGTCTCCCAGAGTGTGTATTAGCAGAAAGCTAGAATTGGGATCAGACCTGGGACTCAAACCCAGGCACTCTGATTTGGGATGTGGGGCATCCCAGGTGGTGGTTTAACTGTTGCACCAAATGCTCACCCCAATCTCTGTCCTTTAACTGGTACATTAAGCTGACACTCAAAGCGATTCTTGCTATAGCTAGATTAAAATCTACCATATTTGTTACTGTTTCCTAATTGCTGCTCTTGTTCGTTGTTCCTATTTTTGCCTTCCACTCTTTCTACCTTTTAAAGTTTCCATTTAACATTGTTTTCTAAAGATTTATTTATTTATTTGAAGGGCAGCGTGACAGAGAAAGACCAGGGGAGAGATAGAGAAAGATTTCCATTTCCTGGTTCACTCCCCAAGTAGCTACAACAGCCAGAGCTGGACCAGGCTGAAGCCAGGAGCCAGGAGCTCCATCTGGGTCTCCCATGTGGATGGCAGGGCCATCTTTTGCTTTCTTCTCAAATGCAGAGAACTGGGTCAGAGTGGAGTAGCTGGGATGCAAACTGGCCCTCAGATGTGGGATGCCAGTGCCTCAAGCAGAGGCTTAACCTGCTGTGCAAGCCCCCATCAGCGAACATTTTATGATTCCATTTTCTCTCAGCATATCAGTTACACTTTTTTTTTTTTTTTTTTTTTTTGACAGGCAGAGTGGACAGTGAGAGAGAGAGACAGAGAGAGAAAGGTCTTCCTTTTTGCCGTTGGTTCACCCTCCAATGGCCGCCGCTGCAGCCGGCGCACCGCGCTGATCCTGGCAGGAGCCAGGAGCCAGGTGCTTTTCCTGGTCTCCCATGGGGTGCAGGGCCCAAGCACCTGGGCCATCCTCCACTGCACTCCCTGGCCATAGCAGAGAGCTGGCCTGGAAGAGGGGCAACCGGGACAGAATCCGGCGCCCCAACCGGGACTCGAACCCGGTGTGCCGGCGCCGCAAGGTGGAGGATTAGCCTATTGAGCCACGGCGCCGGCTTTTATCAGTTACACTTTTTAAGACCATTTTTAGTTATTGCCTATAGTCAGCAAGATGTACACTGACAAATGTTCCAAGTATATGTCTGAGTAACGTTATACTGCTTCATGGTAGTGAATCCTAATTCTTTCCATCCCCCTTGTATCAGAGGTGTCCTTCATTTCATTTCTGCATAAACCTACCTAAGCATACTGTTGCTATTACTATTTTGAACAAACTGTTATCTGTTAGTTCAATTAAGAATCAGAGGGGTGGTTAAGATATTGGTTAGAATGTCAACATCCTATATTGGAGTGCCTAGGTTTGAGTCCTGTCTCTACTTCCAATTCCAACTTCTTCCTGCCAATGTACACCTTGGGAGGCAGCAGGTGATGGCTCAAGCACTCGAGTCTCTGCCACCCATCTGGGAGACCAGGTTAAGTTCCTGGCTCCTGGCTGTTACTGGCATTTAGGGAGTGAAGCACCGGATAGGAGTTCTATTTTTTCTCTGACTTTTGAATAAATAAAATAAGCAAAAAATTAAAAAAAAAAAGGAAAATTAGTTTTTACTTCCATCAATGTTTTTCTGAAAAATCTTTATTTCTCTTTTATTTTGAAGGATAATTTTGTAGAATACAAAGTTCTAGGTGAGTGTACTTCTCTCAATACTTTTAAGTATTTTACTCTACGTAACTCACCTTATCTTCTCGTACAAGTAGAATAGAAGCACTTTCTCCTATATGTTTAACTGGCATAGCACTGATTCTGGTATACAGTTTGTTTCTCCAGCAAGACTATTACTTCTTACAAGTACCAAGTGCTAACTGACTATGCCACTGGAGCAAGACTATCACCTCTTAAAGGTAGAAATGTAGATTAATAAATATTGGCTGGTGCCGCAGCTCACTTGGCTAATCCTCCACCTGTGGCGCCAGCACCCCGGGTTCTAGTCCCGGTTGGGGCGCTGTATTCTGTCCCGGTTGCTCCCCTTCCAGTCCAGCTCTCTGCTGTGGCCCGGGAAGGCAGTGGAGGATGGCCCAAGTGCTTGGGACCTGCACCCGCACAGGAGACCAGGAGGAAGCACTTGGCTCCTGGCTTCGGATCGGCGCAGTGCGCCTGCCATAGCACCCTTTTGGGGGGCGAACCAATGGAAAAAAGGAAGACCTTTCTCTCTGTCTCTCTTTCTAACTCCGCCTGTCAGAAAAAATTTTTTAAAAATAAAAATAAATAAAAATAAAAAATAAAGATTAATAAATATTTTGCTTCTCTCCCTTTATCCATTATAGGAAGAGTATATAAAAGCTATTTAGTGAATGAATGCTTTTTGCCTCAATGCTTATGATTTCTTTACATATATAGAAAGTCAGCAAATGAAGAAAATACCTTGTTCAAAAGCTTTGCCCACATTGTCAGTAAGTTCTTTCTGTTTAGCTGAAAGAGAAAACCATTACCTTAGTTCTTTTATTAAAACAGACTCACAGTTTGAAGATAACACTTTGGAATCATGCTGATTTGCACAGAAAGCAGGGAGCTTGGATTCAAAGTTAAGGTTTCATAACCTTTGTTGTACATATACCATGATAGTAGGCACTATTTAGTGTAGCTTGCATGACCCTCTTTTTTTTCCTTCTTCTTCTTTTTTTTTTTTTTTAAGATTTATTTAAAAAAAGAGGAAAGAAAACAGAAAGAGAGAGAGAGAGAGAGATGTCTTCCATCTGCTGGTTCACTCCCTACATGGCCACAATGGCCAGGGCTGTGCCAGGCCAAAGCCAGGAGCCAGGAGCTTCTTCCAGGTCTCTGATATGGATGTAGGAGCCCAGGGACCTGGCTCGTCCTCTGCTTCCCTCCCAGGCACATTAACAGGGAGCTGAATTGGAAGTGGAGCAGCTGGGACTTGAACCAGCACCCATATGATACTGGCACTGCGGGCTGTGGCTTTAACCTGTTGTGCTACAGCACCCAGTGGGCAATCCTCATTACACTGTTTTTCTACCCCTGCCAGGTCCAAAGGAAATCACCAATGCTCATAAAATGACTATAGAATCATTAAAAAGAAAAAAAAAAAGACAAGGATATACCTTGATGTTCTCCACAGTCTGAGTCTTCCAGCATTCAGTGGGGACCACCTATCAGCCAGGCTATTACCAAGTGTTTTAGGCAACCACTTGCTAATTATAGGAAAAGGAACACATCCATGTCATACTGTGTTAAAAGAGAAGATGGCAAATGAGATGAGAGAGAAGAATCTTATTTTTCTGATGTTTCCTCACTTTACAGAAAGTGTGTTTTCCATTGTAAATAGCATCAATCACTTATTTACTGCCTTCTTTCAAAGCACTTTGAAATCTATTCTATGGGACTGGCATTATGATACAGCATCTGTGACGCGGGAGTCCCGTGTGAGCGCTGGTTGGATTCCGGCTGCTCCCTCCCTGCTACTATGCCTGGGGAGCAGAGGAAGATGGCCCTAGTGTTTGGGCCCCTGCCACCTGCATGGCTGGAGACCAGGATGGAGTCCAGGTTGGATTTCTCGGCTCTCAGTTTCAGCCTGACCCAGCTCCCGCTGTTGCAGCTATTTGGGGAATGAACCAGTGGATGGAAGCATTCTCTCTCTCTTTTTCCCTGTCTGCGAATCTGCCCCATGGGCACACGGGTAGTGAGTGGGGAGCCAGGAACAGCATCCAAGTCACCTGTCCTTGCCCAGGGTTTGAGAAGAGCCTCTCAGGTGGCAATGCCGTGTCAATGAAAGAGCACTAGGAGCCTGGAGGCTCTGCAGGCTGAGCCCAAAACTAACTCTGTGCCCTGTGCATTCACTTTGCCTGGGCCTTAGGCACACCTGGAGGGGACAGCATTTAGGAATTAATCCAAAGTGATGGTTGGTGATCTGCTCAAAGTCAAACGTCGTGACTGGGCCAGGCTAAGTGTTTCATGTTTCACTCTTTTAATTGAATCCTTGCAACAACCATGACAAATTGTCCTCTTTTTTTTTTTTTAATTTAAAGATTTATTTTATTTATTTGAAAGACAGAGTTACAGACAGAGGTAGAGACAGAGAGAGAGGTCTTCCATCTGCTGGCTCACTCTGGGATGCCGGCACTTCAGGCCAGGGTTTTAACCCACTGTGCCACAGTGCTGGCCCCAAATTGTCCCCCTTTCACAGGTGGGAAACTTGAGGTCTAGAGGGGTGAAGTTATTTGCTCAAGTCACATAAAAAATCAGTAGCACTACTGGGACTGAACCCCAGCCCACCACCCCCTGATGTTTCTGGAGGCCGTCTCTCAGAGCAGAGTCGATGGGGCCTTCTGCCTGCACACTGCTCCTCGCCCTGCCCCACCCAGCCCTCACGTCCAGCTGACAGTCCCTCACCACCACTTCCATTTTATCTCTTTTCATGTTCATTAATTAACTCATTTAATACATACTGAGTTCCTACTATACTTCACGTACTATTCTATGAGCAGAGGGTGTGAGAGAAGTGAAAAGCAGACATGTTTCTCTTTTCAGAGCTTCCATCTATAAATCGGGGAAGCTAGTGGTGATCAAATAATGTCACATAGACCAGCAAAGTTAGAACTGTGATCAGTACCTACAACCATTCCCAAAAGGGATGGACAGAGGTCAACAAAGTATTCTCTGAGGAAGTAATGATCGCTCCCAGATCTGAAACACGCAGCATTCACTTAGACGTGGTGAAGGAGAAGAGAGACACAGATGGAAGCAACAGCATACGGCAGGGCCCTGGGGTAGGAAGTGTCTGCTACAGATGAGGAACTGGAAGTTGGCCAGTGTGGCTGGATTGCAGGGGGGAAATGGAGGGGGCCAGAAGCCAGATCATATAGGGCTTTGTAAGCCTTGCTAACAGATTTGGTCTGAAACCTGAGAGCAGTGGAAGCCACTTAAAGTTTTAAGCAAGGTCCAGGCATTTGGCCCACTGGTTACAGCATTGCTTGGGAAGCCTGCATTCCGTGTCTTAGCGCTGGGGTTTGAATCCCGGCTCTGCTTCTGATTTCAGCTCCCTGCAAGTGTGCACCCTGGGAGGCAGCAGATGACGGCCCTCGTACCTGGGTTTCTGCCACTCTTCTGATTTCAGCTCCCTGTAAGTGTGCACCCTGGGAGGCAGCAGATGATGGCCCTCGTACTTGGGTTCCTGCCATTCACGTGGGAGACCCAGGTTGAGTCCCTGGCCTCACCCCGTCCAGACCTGGCCCTTGCAGGGATCTGGGGAGCAAGCAGCAGATGACAAGCACGTCTGTCTCTTTCTGTCTTGGTCATTCTTTTGCTCTACCAGGCTAGGCCGTTGAGGCCACATGGGGAGTGAACCACTGGATAGATTTCTTTCTCTTTCTGTCTCTCCCTCTCTGTTATCACTCTGCCTTTCAAATCAATCAATCATCTAAAAAAGTGTCTAAGCAAGGCTGAGGGCAGTGATTAGATATGGGTTTTAAAAAGAGTACAGGGGGCCGGTGCTGTGACTCACTAGGCTAATCTTCCGCCTGCGGCGCCAGCATCCCAGGTTCTAGTCCCGGTTGGGGTGCCAGATTCTGTCCCGGTTGCCCCTCTTCCAGGCCAGCTCTCTGCTGTGGCCCGGGAGTGCAGTGGAGGATGGCCCAAGTGCTTGGGCCCTGCACCCCATGCGAGACCAGGAGGAAGCACCTGGCTCCTGGCTTCGGATCGGCGCAGTGCCCAACGGAAAAAGGAAGACCTTTCTCTCTGTCTCTCTCTCTCTCACTGTCTAACTCTGCCTGTTAAAAAAAAAAAAAAAAAAGAGCACAGGGGGCCTGAGGTTGACAGGCCAGTCAGATACTGCTGTCGTCCAGGTTAGAGAATACAATACCAGAGACAGGGTGGGTAGTGAACACAGACGTCACTCAGGTCAGCGCTTTAAGACTGGGGATGCAATGATTACAGCGACAGAGAATAGGGTTAAGGATACCATGCTCAACTACACGGTCTCATGCACTTAGAGAAAGGAGGCCTTTTCTTTCTTTTTTTTTTTAGATTTAAGTATTTACTTGAAAGTCAGAGTTATGCAGAGAGAAGGAGAGGGGGAGATGGAGGGAGGGAGTCAGGGAAGGCGGGGGGAGAGAGAGAGAGAGAGAGAGAGAGAGAGAGAGAGAGAGGTCTTCCATCTGCTGGTTCACTCCCCAGATAGCTGCAATGGCCAGAACTGAGTCAATCCGAAGCCAGGAGCCAGGAGCTTCTTCTGGTCTCCCATGCGGGTGCAGGGCCCAAGGACTTGGGCCATCTTCTACTGCTTTCCTAGGCCATAGCACAGAGCTGGATCAGAAGTGAAGCAGTTGGGAGTTGAACCAGTACCCTCTGGGATGCTGGCAATGCAGGCGGTGGCCATACCCGGTATGCACAGAGCAGCCAGGAGGTTTGTTTTTGTTTTTGGTGGGAAGCAGACTCCAAAAAGGCAGGGACAGTAGGACTGTATCTTTATTGTTCTCTGCTGAAATCTTATTGTTATGCCCTGTCTGATGTACGGTAGGCACATCATAGTTCTTTGTCAAGGTGCCCAAGTGCATACAATCTGGGTGAAGCCTTTTCTATGTGGAATGGTTAATTTTATATGCCAACTTGGCAAAGCTGGGCTGCCTTGTGGTTTGATTGATCAAGCACTAATCTCTCCAGATGCTGTGAAGAAATTTTGTAGAAGGAATTAATATTTATGATCATTTGACTACAAGTAAAGGAGATGCCCTCTGATATCACAGGTAGGCCCCATCTAATCAAGTAGAGGCATTAAGTGCAAAAACAGGTTTCCTGGAGAAGGAATTCTACCTTAAAACCATAACACAGAAGCCTACTTCTGTTTCCAGCCCTGCTGTCCTGACTTTATCAAAGAGTTTGGATGTGCCAGCCTCCCCAGTAATGTGAGTCAATTTCTTAAATAAGTGTCCTGATCCACCTATATGTGGCGTATTGGTTTTTAGAACTGAGGCTGATACATTCTGGCATCAAGTAGAAATTAAAGCAATATGAGATCAGACCAGGATTTCAATATTTGCCATGCTGCATATTGCTAACTTCTTGGGCCCACTTTCCTTGTTAGAGATGATAACAGTATCATCACGACATCACAGGGGCCATTATTGTGGTGCAGCAGGTTAAGCCGCAGCTTGCAACATCTGCCATCCCATAACAGAGAACAGGATGGAATCCTGGATGCTCTGCTTCTGACCCAGCTCTCTGCTAACATGCCAGGGAAGGCCCCTGCCACCCATGTGGGAAAACTGGGTGGAGTTCCCGGCTCTTGTCTTTAGCCTGGTCTAGCCCTGATTATGAGCCCACTTGGGAGTAAACCAAGCAAATGGAAGCTCTCTCTCTCACCCTCTCTGTAACTCTGCTTTTCAAATAAATAAATAAAAAAAAAAAAAAAGAAAGAAAGAAAGAAAAGAAATCTTGGGCTGGAGGGCTAGCATTGTGGTGTAGCAGGTTAAGCTGCTGCCTGCAATGCCGGCATCCCATATGGGTGCTGTTCGAGACTGGGCTGCTCCGCTTCCAGTTCAGGTCCCTACTGGTGTGCCTGGGAAAGCAGCAGAAGGAGGCCCAAGTGCTTGGGCCCCTGCACACATACCCATATGTGTGGATCTGGAAGAAGGTCCTGACTCCTAACTCTGGACAGGCCCCAGCTCCAGCCGCTGTAGCCACTTGGGGAGTGAAACAGAGGATGGAAGATCTCTCTTTTCTTCTCTCTGTAACTTTGACTTTCAAAATAAATAAATAAATATTTTAAAATTTAAAAAGAAGGTATCATGGTTTTAGGCTGCCTTCTATAGGGTCAGAAAGGTGTTTCAAGTTTAACCACCAGAAAAGATTGGTTTCAGTATCACTAGGAAAGAAAAATTCCCTGAATCATTATAATGACCAGTATATACTCCTTATGTTCATTTTCCATTTAGCTCTTGACATATACTCATAATGGCAATGAAATGCATTTGGTGGTGTTCTATATTTTACCTCTGACAATGGATTCAACCTCTTTCATGGCAGCTTCACTTTGAGCTTCTGCGAGTTTTTCATTGATTTCCATTATCTCCATGAGGAACTGCTTGTCCATTTCATAATCTGTCCCTTCAGGAATCTCTACTCCATGGAGCTTTAGCTATTGGGGCAGACAGTAGGAAAAGTAAGTTTGGTTCAGGAGTCCTACAAATCCTGTTCAATCTTGACAACATGATGACACTGCTGGGCAAAACCTGAGCTGTCCCAACAACGAATGCCTGGAGTTAGGGTGCCAAAAACTGACTGCAACTGGAGTGCTGACACAGGGGCCTACTCTGTGCTCCCTGGAACTGCGGGAGTCAAACATCGCATTCCCCCCATAGGCTGAACTACATTTTTGTAAAGACTTTGCTTGATTCTAAAATTTTCTGGACTCTGAGATGCTCTCAGAAAGAAAAAAAAAAAATCAAATACATGTGAAATTGTTCTTCCCTAAAAGCCACCACCATTCAATCCTTGAAATTTATAGAAAATGGTTACAAAGTGTAGTTGAGGTGAGTAATATGTACAGAGAACACTCGAGAAAAAACTGTACTCATGTAGTATCTTTAAGATAAACAGCAGGCCGGCGCCGCGGCTCACTAGGCTAATCCTCCGCCTGTGGCGCCGGCACACCGGGTTCTAGTCCCCGTCGGGGTGCTGGATTCTGTCCCGGTTGCCCCTCTTCCAGGCTAGCTCTCTGCTGTGGCCAGGGAGTGCAGTGGAGGATGGCCCAACCAAGTGCTTGGGCCCTGCACCCCATGGGAGACCAGGATAAGTACCTGGCTCCTGCCATCGGATCAGCGTGGTGCGCTGCCCGCAGCGCGCCAGCTGTGGCGGCCAGTGGAGGGTGAACCAATGGCAAAAGGGAGACCTCTCTCTCACTGTCCACTCTGCCTGTCAAAAAAAAAAAAAAAAGACAAATAGCACTGGGTTCCTGAATGAGCTCAGATCTCACGTACAATTCTACTGAATACAGGGAGACAGTTGTCTACACACTTGGCACCAGAGCCACACATTTAAGGGCTGGGAAATCACCTTACAAGGTATAGTCCCCTGCTCAGCGGGGCCAGAAGGGTCTTATAGGCATCATTCACCAGGGTCGAATGCTTCTCCGAGAAGTCCTTTTCAGTCTGTTAATGGGGATGAAGACAGCCTTATTACCTTCCAAATCAGCCTTCTTAACATTCACACATGTTTATAACATGCTGATGGCCAGGCACCTAAGTAAGCAAAAACTAAAGCTGCTGCTGGGGGCTGACGTGTGGCGTAGGGGGTTAAGGTGCTGCCTGCAATGACGGCATCCCATGTGGGTGCCAGTTCAAGTCCTGGCTGCTCCATTTCTTTTTTATTTTGTTTTTTTTTTTTAAGATTTTTTAAATTATTTGAAAGTCAGATTTACACAGAGAGAGAGGAAGAGGTCTTCCATCTGCTGGATCACTCCCCAACTGGCCGCAACAGCTGGAGCTGCGCTGATCTTCTTCCACTGATCTTCTTCCGGGCCTCCCATGCAGGTGCTGGGGCCCAAGGACTTGGGCCATCTTCTACTACTTTCCCAGGCCACAGCACAGAGCTGGATCGGAAGTGGAGCAGCTGGGGCTTGAATCAGCACCTATATGGGATGCCGGCACTGCAGGCCCGAAGAAGCTCCTGGCTTCAGATCAGCGCAGCTCCAGCTGTTGCGGCCAATTGGGGAGTGATCCAGCAGATGGAAGACCTCTCTCTGCATATCTCTGACTTTCAAATAATTAAATAAATCTTGAAAGAAAGAAAAAGAAAAGAAATGGAGCAGTCAGGGCTTGAACTGGCACCCACATGGGATGCCGTCATTGCAGGCAGCACCTTAACCCCCTATGCCACATGTCAGCCCCCAAAAGCAGTTCCAGTTTTTTGTTTACTTAGGTGCCTGGCCATCAGCATGTTATGCCACAGTGCCAGCCCCTGGTCATTTCTGATTCAGGTCCCTGCTAATGTGCCTGGACAAAGCAGTGGAGGATGGCCCAAATGTTTGGGTTCCTGCGCCCATGTGGGAGACCCGGAAGAAGATCCTGGCTCCTGGATTTGGCCGGCAAAGCCCTGGCCGTTATAACCATTTAGGGAGTGAATCTGCAGAGGGAAGCTATCTCTGTCTCTTCCTCTCTCTATAACTTTGTCTGTCAAATAAATAAATACATCCTTAAAAAGAGAGAGAGAGAAAAGGAATAATATTAACTAAATGTTAAAAAAAAAATAATTGGGGTCAGATTAGGTGGCCAGCGCCGTGGCTCACTAGGCTAATCCTCCGCCTGTGGCGCCGGCACCCCGGGTTCTAGTCCCGGTCGGGGCGCCAGATTCTGTCCTGGTTGCCCCTCTTCCAGGCCAGCTCTCTGCTGTGGCCCGGGAGTGCAGTGGAGGATGGTCCAAGTGCTTGGGCCCTGCACCCGCATGGGAGACCAGGAAAAGCACCTGGCTCCTGCCTTCGGATCAGTGCGGTGCGCCGGCCGCAGTGGCCATTGGAGGGGGGGGTTAGATCAGGTATCTTTATTTTCCACTGATGGGTTCTAAGTTGGTTGGGAAGTCAGAAAAAAAGTTCTGAGTGACAGCTCCAGGGGCTTAGCTGGCTGGGGTCAAGCTGCTACAGAGTGGAGCTGTTTGTTCAGCGCTATCCCTGTAAACTGAATAAGCACAGGTCACTACCACCCACCCTGTGTGCACACTTGTTTGGGGATCACTGGCGATGTCCAATGAGCTACCTGAGACCTCTGGCTGAAGAAATCTGGGTGGACAAGACGCTGCAGCTCCTGGTACCTGCGCTGGAGCTTCGTGGTATCAACTCTGAAGGAACGGTTGCTGGAAGGAAATTGGAGATGAAGTCCACACAACACAAAATGATAGATTTCTCTCCTGTTGGCCTGGTTCCTGCTCTTGGGGGAAAATGCAAGAAGCGCAGAGATGGAGATCACTTTAAAAATAGCTAAGTGCTCGGCCGGCGCCGCGGCTCACTAGGCTAATCCTCCACCTTGCACACCGGGTTCTAGTCCTGGTCGGGGTGCCGGATTCTGTCTCGGTTGCCCCTCTTCCAGGCCAGCTCTCTGCTGTGGCCAGGAGTGCAGTGGAGGATGGCCCAGGTGCTTGGGCCCTGCACCCCATGGGAGACCAGGAAAAGCACCTGGCTCCTGGCTTCGGATCAGCGCGGTGCGCCGGCCGCGGCGGCCATTGGAGGGTGAACCAACGGCAAAGGAAGACCTTTCTCTCTGTCTCTCTCTCTCACTGTCCACTCTGCCTGTCAAAAAAAAAAAAAAAAAAAAAAAAAAAGCTAAGTGCTAAAAGGGAAAAGAACAGGGGGTCAGCAAGGGTGGTAGACGCCAGGGCTCTCTGAGCTGAGCCTCAACCTGAACACGATGATGATGATGATGATGAGTAATCCAAGATCAGGGGAGCGACACCCAAGCGCAAAGACCCGGGCGGGCAAGTATAGTCGCAGGCCGAGGAACTTCGAGGGCAGTGCTGCTACGGCCCATCCTAAGCACTCAGTGACCGGTGGCGGTAGATCCCAGAGGAGGGTGACCAGGCATCCCCAAACCCCACCCTGTTCTTCTAAAGCCCGGGGACCTTCGTCCCTGTCTCCTTTTTAATCCAAATCCCTTCGGCTTTCTACTCCCAGAGCCGGCCCTATTTCCTCACCAGCTCAGCTGTGCCCACATCTCCCCACCCCCAGGGCGGAAAACCCTCTTCTTCCAAGATCCACGTTCCCCCTAGGCCTTGCCCACGATGTGAAGTTCTCCGCCCACTCCTCACCTACACGTCCCACCCCAGCTTCCCCTCAGGTCTCCCCGCCCCCAAGATCCGCCCCTCGCCCGCTTCCCTCTCCCGCAGGGGCCGCCCCAGGGTCTCCCCCCACCCCGTCGCCTCCCCGTCCCCGCCCATCCAGCCCCCTGCCCACTCCGGCTCCACCCCTCAACGCCCCTTCCTCTCTCTCAGGACACCCCACAAACCCCACTTTCCGGGCTCCGCCCACCGGTCTTCCCGGTCCCGTCCTGTCCTTCCCACGCCTGGCCCGCCCTCCACGCTCGCAGGCCAGCCCCTGGCGCCTCTCTCCGCCATGCATTTCCCAAAACCGCCTCCCGTACCAATCCATGAGGCTGAAGTAGTCTCGAGCTCGGTCAGGTGGCTGCAGCGCGCGGCACTGCGGGCAGAAGAACCCGTCCCCCAGCCCAGGGGCCCCCGGGACACCGCAGTTCCAACATCCGGGCGAATTACTTCTCGCCTGCGACGCAGCATTGCAGCTTAACAGTCTCCTTCCGGGAACCCCTGCCGGCCACAACTCCCACACCCGGAGCAAGGCCCGGGACCTCCCGCTCCACATCTGGCCCGCGGCCGGTCTCCCCACCGGTGGGGAAAAAGCGGAGAACGCTGTCGACGAGCCTGAAGCTACCGATTGGCTGAGGAGCTGCGGGGGCGGGATCACTGCAGTGAGCCCCAGAGACTGTGTTCCGCTCTGCCTCTTAAACTACAACTCCCGGCAAGCATTGAGCCTACGCGTGGCGGTCACATCCGCCGCTCCTCATTGGTCTGGCGGCGGCGGAGAGCGTTTTGATTGGCTGAGGGCGGAGTTTGTATCTTCAGGTTTAGCGCCACTCTGCTGGCTGCGCCTGTGGAGAGTGTGCGGCTGCAAGTGGGCTCACGCGGTGAGTCATAGTGGGGGAGCTCTTCTTGGGTGTTTGGGGGATCGAATCTCGTTCTCCAGGGTCTTTGGCGAGCAGAGTCTCTCAAGCTTCCGCTTCGTCTGGACTTCTGAGCCGGCGGCGGACTGCGTGGGCGGCTTTCTTCCTTAGATAATGTTTAACTTCACTTCCCTCCTCGTTATTTATACATTTAAATAGGCCAGGACCGCAGGGAACAGAGTTGTGCTCGTCACTGTCACAGCAGCGCTGCTTTGTAAAGAGGTCCGTGACCGATAGCAATTATGAACAGTTCTTTAGAGGCGATCTCTAAGCTATTGATGGCGAACCCAGGCTTGGCTGCTGGGCACCGCAGGACCTGGACACACACTGACCGGGCTGGAGCAAGTCCCTGCGAATGGCCACACGGACATACTGGGGTGCCGTGACCACGCGTTTGTGTGGCCCTTTAAGCCTCTCAGATTGTCTGGGACTGGACTTCTGCTCACAGCCCTGGAGCTTTCCTGCTGCCACTTTGTCCCCTCACTCACTCCTCTGCTCCCAGTTAGCAACCATTACCCTAGGAGGAGCATTACACGCACTGGCGCGTTGAGAGCTCTGGTCTGGGTGCTTTTTTTCCAGATGAGGAAGTGGGTCCAGAGAGGCCGAGGCATAAGATCGTGCAGAAGTTCGACTCCAGTGCCTGAGCTCAGGCCTGCTGGCCTCTAGCCTCTTAGAGCTACCTCTTGGCACACTCTCCCCGCTCGTTGGGGTGGGGGAGTCGGGGACCCAGCCTGGCTGACCGTTTTAGATCAGCAGGTCAGGTGTGTTTTAAGGATCACACAATAGGACTTTGGTAATTTTTTTTTTTTTTTAATTTGACAGAGTTAGTGAGAGAGACAGAGAGAAAGGTCTTCCTTCCGTTGGTTCACCCCCTAAATGGTGCCTATGGCCAGAGCTATGCTGATCCAAAGCCAGGAGCCAGGTGCTTCCTCCTGGTCTCCCATGCGGGTGCAGGGCCCAAGCACTTGGGCCATCCTCCACTGCCCTCCCGGGCCACAGCAGAGAGCTAGACTGGAAGAGGAGCAACCGGGACTAGAACCCGACGCCCATATGGGATGCTGGTGCCGCAGGCAGAGGATTTACCAAGTGAGCCACGGCGCCAGCCCCTGGACTTAGGTAATCTTGAAAGCTGTGCAAATACAGTCAGTGAGAGTGATGTTGTTTGCTAACCTGTAGTAAGTAGTGGGCCTCATGCTTGGGAAAGAGACTGTGCCTTAAAATCTACTTAGGTCAGCGTTGAAAGTAACTGACTAACTGCCCCTCATGTTAATTCTAAGGCAAGGGCGGGAGCCTTTTAAGTGGAAGGCTCTTTAGGATGCTGTAAGTTACTTAGCATCACAAAGGGCTACGCTGAGTTGTCTGGCCTCCTTAAGCAGCCTGGCATTTAGATAGCTATCAGGGACGTGGATCCCTGCCCTCCAGGAGCAAGCCTGGGGGAGAAAGGTTTTGGTGAAAGGGCCCCTTCCAAGTGGTGAAGTTTGTTTTGCCTGTCTTTTATCCCAAGCCACCTGACCATGCCTCATCTTTCCCTTTCAAAAATGTATGTGAGGGGCCAGTGTTATGGTGTGGTGGGATAAGTTGCTGCCTGTGACACTGGCATCTCATAGAGAAACACAGGTTCAAGTCCTGGCTGCTCTGTTTCCCATCCAGCTCCCTGCTAATGTGCCTGGGATGGCTCAACTAAGTTGAGCCTCTGCCACTCTTTTGGATAATCGGGATGAAGTTCCAGATTCCTGGCTTTGGCCTGGCCCAATCCCTTGAAAGTTAAAACGGACTAATACAATCAATATAATTAAATTTCACATGCATGTTTTTTTAAAAAACGTTTATTTGAAAGGCAGAGTGACCAAGGGGGGAAGAAAGGAGAGACAGATAGAGAGATCTTCCACCCCTAGTTCACTCCTCAAAAGCCCTCAACAGCCAGAGCTGGGCCAGTGTGAAGCCAGGAGCCTGGAGCTCCACCTGAGGCTCTTCTTGGGATGCAATGGCCCAAGCACTTGAGCCATCTTCCACTGGCTTCCCAGGCGCTTCAGCAGGAAGCTGGATTAGGAGCGGAACAGCTGGGACTTCAGCTGGCACTGAACAGGAGATGCTAGTGTTGTAAACTGTGGCATAGCCCACTGAGCCACAACACCAGCCCCCGCATTTCCAGTTTTTAGAAACTGGATGCCTAAAACCCTCTGAGTGCCCCCTCCAGCTCAGTGTCCTTGCTTTTACACTTGTTGCCTTCAAGTAGCTTTATTTTTTTTTCTCTGTGTCTTATGACAGTCAAAAAAGTGACCTGGGGAAAAATGGTAGCATAGAAGCACAGGTCTAGACTGGTAGGATTTTAATTTTGGTAGAGTGTTTTGGCCCTGGATTTTTTTTTTTTGTTCGTTCTTTTTTTTGCCTTTGTGTGTGTGTGTGTGTGTGTTTGACAGGCAGAGTGGATAGTGAGAGAGAGAGACAGAGAGAAAGGTCTTCCTTTTGCCGTTGGTTCACCCTCCAATGGCCGCCACGGCTGGCGCGCTGCGGCCGGCGCACCGCGCTGATCCGAAGGCAGGAGCCAGGTGCTTCTCCTGGTCTCCCATGCGGGTGCAGGGCCCAAGCACTTGGGCCATCCTCCACTGCACTCCCTGGCCATAGCAGAGAGCTGGCCTGGAAGAGGGGCAACCAGGACAGAATCCGGCGCCCCGACTGGGACTAGAACCCTGTGTGCCGGCGCCACAAGGCGGAGGATTAGCCTAGTGAGCTGCGGCGCCGGCCGTTTTTTTTGCCTTTGTAATATGCTCATACTTCATTCTTGAATTTTGTCTCTTTTTTTAAAGAACACTTTTTAAAAGTTTATTTATTTATTTGAAAGGCAGAGCGAGAGAGCAAGCATGAAAGAGAGAGAGAGAGAATATCAATCTTCTGGCCTCAGGTTTACTCCCCAAATGCCCACAACAGCCAGGGCTGGGCCACACCAGGAGGCAGGACTCCATCCAGGTCTCCGGGTATCTGGCAGAGACCCAAGCTGAGCCATCATCTGCTGCCTTCCAGGGTGGAAGTGGAGGGGAGACTGCATCCCGGGCACTCTGATATGGGGTATGGTTGCAGGCATCCCAAGTGGTGCCACAGTGTTTGCCCCTGTTCTTTCAAACTCACCTTATTGTTGGGCACTTACTTTTTGAGGTGGTGATGTCTCGGGAGAAGGACGTGGAAGGCCAGCAGTCCCACACCAGTGCTTCCTCACAGTCTCAGGCCAGCGGTGGCTGTTCACAGCTCCAAGGTGGCTTCACCCAGTCCCAAGGCTGCTTGTCCCAGTCCCATGGCCTCTCGTCTCAGACCCACGGTTCCTCCTCTCAGTCCCAGGGCACGTCGAGCTCCTCCACCAGCACGCTGCTCACCTCCAGCCAGTCGTCTCATTCCAGCTCCGGGACGCTGAGCTCCTTAGAGACAGTGTCCACTCAGGAGCTCTGTTCTATTCCCGAGGACCAAGAACCCGAGGAGCCCGTCCCTGCCCCTTGGGCTCGACTGTGGGCCCTTCAGGATGGATTCTCCAACCTTGGTAAGACTTTTTGTTGTGTAGTATAATGTTTTGCTCAGAAAAACTATCGCAAAATGTTGTAGCCGAAAGTTTCAGGCCCTCCTGGAACGCCTGGGGTTTGAAGGTGATGATGAAAGGTGAAGCCAAAGAGGCAGTGTTAGGCAGTGCGCTGGCTTTGACCTGCTTTGGATTCCCTTCATTCTGTCAGCAGATGTTAATGAAGCCTTGGCAATGTGCTTTTCTTCTGATGAGGTGAAGAGATGTGGACTCTCTCCCTCAAAAAATGCAGATGCAAGGGCTGGCATGATAGTGTGGCAGTAGCAGGTTTAGCTGCTGCCTGCAACGCAGGCATCCCTTATGGTTGATGGTTCAGGACCTGGCTGCTCCACTTCTGATCCAGCCCCCTGCTAATGGCCTGGGAGAGCAGTGAAAGGTGGCCCACGTGCTTGCATCCCTGCCACCCACACGGGAGACCCCGGATGAAGCTCTTGGCTCCTGATTTCAGCCTGGTTGCCATCATTTGGGGAGTGAACCAGTGGATGGAATATTGCTCACTCTCTACCTTTCCTCCTCTCTCTACAACTCTGCCTTCCAAATAAATTAGTAAATTTTTTTAAAAATATTTTTTGTTTATTTTTTACCCCAAAGAAACCTTTTATTTAAGGAATACAGACTTCATGCATTTCATAAGTACAACTTTAGGAATATAGTGATTCTTCCCACCATACCCACCCACACTCCCACCCCTCCTTCTTCTCCCTCTTCCATTCCCAGTCTCATTCTCCACTAAGATCCATTTTTGATTAACTTTATACACAAAAGACTGACTCTATACTAAGTAAAGAGTTCAACAATTTGTTAAAAAAAACCAAAACAAACAAACAAAACCTGTTCCTTAACAGTTGAGACAAGGGCTGTTCAAAGTCACTGCATATTTTTTTTTTAATTTTTTATTTATTTATTTGACAGGCAGAGTTACAGACAGTGAGAGAGAGAGACAGAGAGAAAGGTCTTCCTTCTGTTGGTTCACTTCCCAGATGGCCGCAATGGACGGAGCTGCGCCGATCCGAAGCCAGGAGCCAGGTGCTTCTTCCTGGCTCCCATGCGAGTGCAGGGGCCCAAGCACTTGGGCCATCCTCCACTGCCCACCCAGGCCACAGCAGAGAGCTGGACTGGAAGAGGAGCAATAGTCATTGCATCTTGAAGTTAATTTCACTTTTTTTTTTTTTTTTAGAAACTTAATTAACTTTAATGAAGCATCCAAGAATGATATATCTTTTGGGAGTACTTGGACATAGTTATAATACAACTCTTTGAGGACAGAGGTCCTGCACAGTGACTTTTGTTAATTTAACAATTAACATTCTTATGTATGACGTCAGTGGTCACCCAAGGCTCTTGACATGAGCTGCCTAGGCTATAGAAGCCTTTTGAATCCACAAACTCCATCAGTATTTAGACAAGACCATAAGCAAAATCCAAGTTCTCTCCTCCCTTCAGAGAAAAGTACCTCTTTCTTTGATGACCACTTCTTTCCACTGGGGTCTCACCCACCCTTCATGTAGGACATTTTTTTGCCTCAGTGTCTTGGCATTTCCATGCCTGAAATGCTTTCATGGGCTTTTCGGCCAGATCAGAATGCCTTAAGGGCTGATTCTGAAGTCAGAGTGCTATTTAAAGTGATTATCATTTTATGAGTCTGCAGTATGGACTACATTCACTCCTTTTTAATTTTATTATTGATACCAGGCCCTTAACCCTATCCATATGATCACTTTAACACCTAAGATGGTATTTTTACCACCCAGCTTAAGGGGATTTGGGGTGCCAAGGCAAGTTTTTAAACTGTACCCTTAGAAGCGGATCCATAGCTTCTTCTGGGTCTCCCATGCGGGTGCAGGGGCCCAAGGACTTGAGCCATCTTCTACTGCTTTCCCAGGACATAGCAGAGAGCTAGATCGGAAGAGGAGCAGTCGGGTCTCGAACCGGTGCCCATATGGGATGCTGGCGCTTCAGATCAGGGCATTTACCCACTGAGCCACAGCGCCGACCCCTCAGCCATATTTTTAAGATAGACTTATAGACTTAGGTGAGTAGGAAATAGAGTGAAGTGGGATGTGTTACTGGAATAAAATACATGCTCAATAATTGGAAGCGATTTATTGTTGTCACTCATACCTGTGCCTTTGAAATACTGTATAGTTTTTTTTTTTTAATTTTTTTTAACATTTTTTTTATTTGAAAGTTACACAGAGAGAAGGAGAGGCAGAGAGAGAGGTCTTCCACCCTCTGGTTCACTCCCTAAATGGCCTCAATGGCCAAAGCTGTGCCGATCCGAAGCCAGGAACCAGTAACTTCCTCTGGGTCTCCCACACCAGTACAGATGCCCAGGGATTTGGGCTGTCTTCTGCTGCTTTCCCAGGACATAGCAGAGAGCTGGATCAGAAGTGGAGCAGCTGGGACTTGAACCGGCATCCATATGGGATGCCAGCGCTGCAAGCGGTGGCTTTACCCACTATGCCACAGCGCTGGCCCCAATACTGCATAGTTTTAGCTCTTATATTTAAGCCTTTGATTAGTTTTTGAGTTGATTTTTGTATGTGCTCTGAGGGGGGGTCTGGATTTATCATACTTTTGCTGTTCATAGCCTGTTGTCCCAGCACTGTTTCTGGAAGAGACTGCTTTTCCCCCATTGAATGATCTTGGCACTCTTGTGGAGATTCATTTGACCATAAATGAGAGGGTTTATTTCTAAACTCTCAACTGTGTTCCATTAATCTGTGCCAGTAATATAAAACTTAGATTATTACAGCTTTGTAGTAAGTTTTGAAATCCAGTAGTTTTAGACCCTGTTTGTTCATCTTCAAGATTATTCTGGCTGTTGTGGGTCACTGTCCCTTCCGTATGAATTTTACCATGGGCTTGTTACTTCCTGCCAACAAGGCCACTGGGGTTTTGGCAGGAATTACATTGTATCTGCAGATCAGTTTGGGGAGTATTGCTTTCTAGTGTATGAACATGGGCTGTCTTCCCATTTACTGCAGTCTTCCCTAATTTCTTTAAACTGGGCGCAAGTGCGTGAGTCAGCAGCTGCTGCCTTCCCAGGGGTATTAGCTGGAAGCTGGGTCGGAAGTGGAGCAGTGGGACTGGAGCTGGCGCTCCCATGATGAGAGCAGCTTAACCTGCTGGACCATCCTGGCCCCATGATTTTGTTAATTTCTGTAAAGAGGGCAGTTTGGATCTTTGTAGAGATAGTCTTGAATTTGTAGATCAATTTGGGAATATTGCTTTAAAAATACTAAGCGTTTTAATCCGTGGACATTTATGTGTCGTTAGAAATGTTCATTCTCTTTTCATTTGAAAGAGAGAAAGGCAGAGAGAGAGATCTTCAGTCTGCTGGGTCACTCCCCAGTTATCTGCGACACCCAGAGCTGGGTCAGGCAGAAATTGGGAGCCCAGAACTCAATCCAGTGTCCCACATGGGTGGCAGAGACTCAGTTGAGTCATTATCTGCCACATTCCAGGGTGTGCATTAGCAGGAAGCTGAATTGGAAATAAAGCAGCTGGGGGGTTGGTGCCGTGGCTCACCTTTGTCTTGTATCCTATTATTTTATACTACAATAGTTGATTTTCAGATGATAAACCAACCTTACTTTCCTGAGTTAATATTCACTTGGTCATTTATAATTTATTTTAAGTATATTTCTAGGTTCAGTTTGCTGCTATTTTGTTGAGCATTTTTGCATCTGTAGTCATAGATATTGGTCGGTAGTTTGGTAGAATTTTAAATGAAACTGGGGCTGTGCTTTTCCTTGTAGGAAGTTTCTTTTCTTTATGTTTTTTTTTTTTTATATATATTTTTATTTGAAAGTCAGAGTTACACAGAGAGAGGAGAGGCAGAGAGAGAGAGAGAGAGAGAGAGAGAGAGGTCTTTGATCTGCTGGTTCATTTCCCAATTGGCACAATGGCAGGAGCTCCACTGATCTGAAGCCAGGAGCCAGGAGGTTCTTCTGGGTCTTCTATGTGGGTGCAGGGACCCAAGGACCTGGGCCATCTTCTACTGCTTTCCCAGGCTGTAGCAGAGAGCTGGATCGGAAGTGGAGCAGCTGGGACTTGAACCGGCGCCCATGTAGGATGCCAGCCCCACCTGTTATGCCACAGTGCCGGCCCCTCTTTTTTTTCTTTTAAGGTTCATTTAGGGGCCGGCACTGTGGCATAGTGGGTAAAACTGCCACTTGCAGTGCCAACATCCCATACAGATGCCAGGTCTAGTCCTGGCTACTCTACTTCTGATCCAGCTCCCTGCTAAGACACCTGGGAAAGCAGCGGAATATGGTCAAAGTCCTTGGACCCCTGCACCCATGTGGGAAGCCCAGAAGAAGCTCCTTGCTCCTGGCTTCAGATCACTCAGCTCTGGCCATTGTGGTCATTTGGGGAGTGAACCAGCAAATGGAAGATCTCTATTTCTCCCTCTCCATGTGTATGTCACTCTGCCTTTCAAATAAATAAATACTTTTAAAAACATTTCATTTATTTGTGTGAAAAGCTCACTCCCCATGTGCAGACAACAAGAAGGACTGGGCCAGGTCTTTCACTTGGGTGGCAGCAGCCCAGGCACTTGAGCCGTCATCCGTTCCCTCCCAGGAGCATTGGTAGGAAGCTGAATCTGAAGCAGAGGCAGGACTAGGAAACCCATTTAACCTGCTGGGTCAAATGCCTGCTCATTTTTTAAAATAAACATACATAATTTTATTACAAATAAAAAAAAAAAAGTTGGCCGGCGCCGCGGCTCAATAGGCTAATCCTCCGCCTAGTGGCACTGGCACACCGGGTTCTAGTCCTGGTCGGGGTGCTGGATTCTTTCCCGGTTGCCCGCCTTCCAGGCCAGCTCTCTGCTATGGCCCGGGAAGGCAGTGGAGGATGGCCCAAGTGCTTGGGCCCTGCACCCCATGGGAGACCAGGAGAAGCACCTGGCTCCTGCCATTGGATCAGCGCGGTGTGCCGGCCGCAGCGCGCCGGCCGCGGCGGCCATTGGAGGGTGAACCAATGGCAAAAGGAAGACCTTTCTCTCTGTCTCTCTCACTATCCACTCTGCCTGTCAAAAAACAAAACAAAACAACAAAAAAAACCCACAAAGTTTACTATTGCTACAAATTCCTACAAGTTTGATTTGCTTGCATACATAAATCACAAAATTAAAAAAAATTAAATTTTTAGGAACATTCAACATCAGAAGCTTTAAAAATGTAACTATATTTAGTAGCCTCTCAGGCTACAAACTATATATATATATATATATATATTTTTTTTTTTTTTTTTTTTTTGACAGGCAGAGTGGACAGTGAGAGAGAGACAGAAAGAGAGAAAGGTCTTCCTTTTTTTGCCGTTGGTTCACCCTCCAATGGCCACCGTGGCAGGTGCACCGCGCTGATCCAATGGCAGGAGCCAGGTGCTTCTCTTGGTCTCCCATGGGGTGCAGGGCCCAAGGACTTGGGCCATCCTCCACTGCACTCCCGGGCCATGGCAGGGAGCTGGCCTGGAAGAGGGGCAACTGGGACTAGAACCCGGTGTGCCAGCGCAGCAAGGTGGAGGATTAGCCTATTGAGCCACGACGCCGGCCTACAACCTATATATATATATATATTTATTTATTTATTTATTTATTTTTTTGACAGGCAGAGTGGACAGTGAGAGAGAGAGACAGAGAGAAAGGTCTTGCTTTGCCGTTGGTTCACCCTCCAATGGCTGCCGCGGCCGGTGTGCTCTGGCCGGCGCACCGCGCTGATCCGATAGCAGGAGCCAGGTACTTATCCTGGTCTCCCATGGGGTGCAGGGCCCAAGCACTTGGGCCATCCTCCACTGCACTCCCTGGCCACAGCAGAGAGCTGGCCTGGAAGAGGGGCAACCGGGACAGAATCCGGCACCCCGACCAGGACCAGAACATGGGGTGCTGGCACCGCAAGGCGGAGGATTAGCCTATTGAGCCACGGCACCGGCCAGGAGGCAGCTTTACCCCCTATGCCACAGCACTGGCCCAGAGAAATTACATTTTAAAAAATATAGGTTGTTGGCCGGCGCTGCAGCTCAATAGGCTAATCCCCCGCCTTGCGGCACCGGCACACCAGGTTCTAGTCCCAGTTGGGGCGCCGGATTCTGTCCCGGTTGCCCCTCTTCCAGGCCAGCTCTCTGCTGTGGCCAGGGAGTGCAGTGGAGGATGGCCCAGGTCTTTGGGCCCTGCACCCTCATGGGAGACCCGGGGAGGCACCTGGCTCTTGGCTTCGAATCAGCGCAATGTGCTGGTTGCAGCGTGCCGGCCGTGGCGGCCATTGGAGGGTGAACCAACGGCAAAAAGGAGGACCTTTCTCTCCGTCTCTCTCTCACTACACTCTGCCTGTCAAAAAAAAAAAAAAAAAAAAAAAAAGCTGCCTCCTGCAGCGCCGGCATCCCCTACAGGCACCAGTTTGAGTCCCGGCTGTTCTTCTTCTTTTCCAACTCTCTGCTATGGCCTGGGAATCAGTAGATGGCCTAAGTCCTTGGGCCTCTCCACCCGTGTGGGAGACCCAGAAAAAGCTCCTGGCTCCTGGTTTTGGATTGGCACAGCTCCATCCATCGAGGCCATCTAGGGAGTGAACCAATGGATGGAAGACCTCTCTCTGTTTCTGCCTCTGACTTTCAAAAAAATAAATCTTTAACAAAAAAAAAAGTATTTTCTCTACAAAGAATCTTATCAACTATACAAAAACCTGTATAGTTTTATACTGAAGCTACTATTCTGTCCATTCTTATAAAATCTCGATATACAAATTATCATTTTGGTTGCCTTCTTAGGCTGTTTTCCTACAGGTAGATTTCATGAGAAATTTTTATGGGTTCTTGATACGTAAAATTCAACGGCCCTCGGTGTGTGCTTTTATATTACAGAGTGTGTTAACGACAGCTACTGGTTTGGCAGGGACAGAAGCTGTGACTATTGCTTTGATGAACCACTGCTTAAAAAAACGGACAAATACCGGACATACAGCAAGAAACACTTTCGGCTTTTCAGGGTAGGTGACAGATGAACCGCGTGGTTGGGAGAGCTGATGTCCTCTTCATAGCTCTTAGATATCAGCCTGCTGTAAATCCCCACTGCTAACGCTTTGAAATCAAATGTTCTCTCTTTTAGGAAATGGGGCCTAAAAACTCTTACATCGCATACATAGAAGATCACAGTGGGAACGGAACCTTTGTAAACACAGAGCTCGTAGGGAAAGGAAAACGCCGTCCTTTGAATAACAATTCAGAAATTGCACTTTCACTGTGTAGAAATAAAGGTAATAGTATTTTCTTAACTGTTAGTGGATTCCCCCCTCCATGGAAAAGGAAAATTGATACTGTGTCCTCACAGGTTATGGTTTAAGTGAGTGAGAGTAAGCAAGTTGGCCTTTGAGACTCCTTTTGGCTGTCCTAATTGCATTTTTAAATTATGAAGAAGTTCTTTCCAGACAAATTTTTTCTTAGGGCTAATTGGGTTGATTGATTTTATTTAAAGCCATATGCTATCGATTGAATTATATATAGTAAGTTCTAGGTCATTGATTCAGTTTACAACATTTCGGTCTGAGGTTTCTGTGAGTTACTTTAGGATGTTGGTTCTTCCTGCCTCCCTCCTTCTTCCCTCATGCTCCTCTGTCTTCATCCCTTCCATTCATTCGTTTCTGCATACATGTATTGAGCTCCTGTTGTATGCCAGGCATTCAGCTATGAGTATCTTCATAAGAGTTTCAGTTTAGTGCTTCCATCTTAAATACCAGATGGCCACCCTTTGCAAGTGAAGACTGTGACATTCTCAGCTAGCATTTCATAAGCATCACTCCTACAGCTTCACGAGCGTCACATCTGAAAGGAACGGTCCAGCGTGGGTATTGTGGTGCAGCATCGTAAGCTGCCACTTGGGATACCTGTATCCCAACTGGAGTGCGGGGTTGAGTCCTGGCTGCTCCACTTCCAGTCCAGCTCTCTGCTTCCCTGCCTGGGAAGCAGCAGATAATGATTCAAGTACTTGGACCCCTGCCACCCATATAGGAGACCAGATGGAGTTCCTGGCCCCTGACTTTGGCCTGGCCCAGCCTTAGCTGTTGTGGCCATTTGGGGAGTAAATCAACAGATGATTCTCTGTCATTCTGCCTTTCAAATGAATGAACGAATGAATAAATAAATAAATAATTTTGAAAAATGAGCAATTGTCATTTGGGGTTAAGTTTAGAAAGAATAGATGATAAAAACAACCTGTAGAGGGGTGCCAGCGCCGTGGCTCACTAGCTTAATCCTCCACCTGCGGTGCCGGCATCCCATGTGGGCGCCAGATTCTGTCCCGGTTGCTCCTCTTCCTGTCCAGCTCTTTGCTGTGGCCTGGGAAGGCAGTGGAGGATGGCCCAAGTCCTTGGGCCCTGTACCCGCATGGGAGACCAGGAGGAAGCACCTGGCTCCTGGCTTCGGATTAGCGTAGCTCCGGCCATAGCAGCCATTTGGTGGGTGAACCATTGGAAGGAAGACCTTTCTCTCTGTCTCTTTCTCTCTCACTGTCAAACTGTCCAAAAAAAAAAAAAAAAAAAGTGTAGAGTTAAAAGTAGCTGACATTGATTCTAATCATTGGATGAAAAGAGTGCTCTTGTTTCTTTCTTTTTTTTTTAAGATTTATGTATTTGAAAGGCAGAGTTAGATGGATCTTCCATCTGCTGGTTCACTCTCCAAACAATGGCCAGAGCTGTTCTGATCCGAAGCCAGGAACCTCTTCCTGGTCTCCCAAGTGGGTGCAGGGGCCCAAGTAATTGGGCCATCTTCCACTGCTGTCCCAGGCCATTAGCAGGGAACTGGCTCAGAAGTGGAGGCAGCTGGCAGTCAAACCAGTGCCTATATGGGAAGCTGGCGCTGCAGGCGGCTGCTTTACTTGCTATGCCGCAGCACTGGCCCCTTGTTTCTTTAAATAACAAATCACAGCTTCTCAGATCTGAGAGTTGAAGGACTCAGAGGCATGTGTTTATGTAAGTGACACTGAAAAAGAGGTGCAGCTGTGGGTGAAATGCTTGTGTCCTACGTTGGAAAGCTGGGTTAGAGTCCTGGGTCAGCTTCTGACTCCAGCGTCCTGCTAATGCGGACTCTAGGAGTCCGCAATGATAGCTCAAGGAATTGGACTCCTGCCATCCACCTAGGAAACCTGGAGTGAATTCCTGGTTCCTGATTTTGGCCTCAGCCCAGCCACAGTAGTCACAGGTGAGTGGGAGCTCTGTCTGTTTCTGCCTCTCAAATTAAAAAACAACAACAACAAAAACAAGCAGCTTTGCACAAGCATTCGTATAGATTCTAATCCGGAGTTTAAGGGATTAAACAAGCATGCCCAGGTAGTGCTTTCTTGAAGTGTCTTTAGACTGGCAGTTGGGAATGTGGCGGTGCTGGGCAGCCTGAAGCAGGTTTTTTGACTTAATTTTCCCTATTTCTGACTGCTTTCTGTCTGACAATGGCAGGCAGTTGCAAAGGGTCTTATTGTGAGTGGTACTTGATGTAGGAGATGACTTGGGTTTTCCTAAAGGCCACCTTTTCTTTCCTCTGTAAAAAATTATTAATTCTACTTGATAAGAAATATATATATTTATTGTGTACAATATATTTTGGAATATGGACTCTCCTACCTTATGGAAATGGTTCATTCAAGTCAACTTGTTTATTAACTCTCATAAATATAATCTTCTGTGGTAAGATTTAAAATTTACTCTTAGCAATTTTCAAGAATACAGCACATTTTTAACTTTACTGCAGTCTTCTTGTTGTGCATTAGATCTCTTGATCGTTTCTCTTTTGAACACAGATAGACCTGACTGATAGTCTGAGGACTAACTTTGGCCTATGGGTGGTTTTAGGCACTCACTGGATATTTATAATTTTTAAAAAGATTTTATTTATTTATTTGAGAGGTAAAGTCACAGAGGTAGAGATGGAGAGAAAGGTCTTCCATCCACTGGTTCACTCCCCAAATGGTCAGAATGGCCAGAGCTGGGCCCATCCAAAGCAGGAGCCAGAAACTTCTGGGTCTCCCATGCAGGTGCAGGGGCCCAAGTGCTTGGGCCATCGTCCACTGCTTTCCCAGGCCATAGCAGAGAGCTGGATCAGAAGAGGAGCAGCCGGGACTAGAACCAGCGCCCATATAGGATCCTACCACTGCAGGCAGAGGCTCAGCCCACTATGCCACAGCGCTGGTCCCCGATATTTATAATTAAAAAATATTTAGTTACTTATTTGAAATTATAACTTTAAAAAAGATGTACTTATTTATTTGAAAGCCAGAGTGACTCAGAGACAGGGAGAGACAGATCTTCCGCATTTACTGGCTCGCTCTCCAAATGCCTGCAATAGCCAGGGCGGGGCAAGGCCAAAATCAGGAGCTGGGAATTCCATCCAGGTCTCCCACGTGGGTGGTGGGGCCCATATTACTTGGAACATCATCTCTTGCCCCCCAGGTGCCTTGGCAAGAAACTGGACTGGAAGTGGAGAGTAGCCAGGTCTCAAACTAGGCACTTCGATATGGGATGTGGGCGTCCCAAGTGGCAGTTTAACTTGTAATTCTGCCCCTGGTATTTATAATTTTACCGTGACAATCCAGATTTCTTTGAGAAGTTGGAAATCTGGCCCAGTGAGCCTACAGATCTACTTGGGGCTCTGCAGGCACTGAGTGGATAGATGCTGCCTCTTTTATTTTATTTATTTATTTATTTTTTGACAGGCAGAGTGGACAGTGAGAGAGAGAGACAGAGAGAAAGGTCTTCCTTTGCCGTTGGTTCACCCTCCAATGGCTGCCGCGGCTGGCGCGCTGCGCCGGCGCACAGCACTGATCTGAAGGCAGGAGCCAGGTGCTTCTCCTGGTCTCCCATGGGGTGCAGGGCCCAAGGACTTGGGCCATCCTCCACTGCACTCCCTGGCCACAGCAGAGAGCTGGCCTGGAAGAGGGGCAACCGGGACAGAATCCGGTGCCCCGACCGGGACTAGAACCTGGTGTGCCGGCGCCACAAGGCGGAGGATTAGCCTAGTGAGCCGTGGCGCCGGCCTAGATGCTGCCTCTTTTAAACAGGAGATGTGTTTCCCCATTCAGGTTCCTATGTCTCCTCATTGTCTTTTCTTTAAATAACATCATCACCTCTGCTTTAGATGGGCTGAATCACCCCCCAAATGGCTGCAGTAGCAGGAGTTGGGCCAGGCTAAAGCCAGGCTAAAGCCACCTGGGTCTCTCAAGTGGGTGGCAGGAACCCAAGTTCTTAGGCTGTCTTCTGCTGCTTTCCCTGGCATGTTAGCAGGGAGCTAGATTGGAAGTGGAGCAGGCAGGATTCAAACCTGCACTCGTGTGGGATGCCAGCTTTGCAGGTAGCTGCTTAACCTGTGCATTGTGTGCTGAACCCTCTTCACTGTCTTCAACTCAACCCAGCCCGACTCTTTTACCTTACTTTCTTTTTTTTTTTTTTTTTAACAGAGTGGACAGTGAGAGAGAGAGAGAGAGAGAGAGACAGAGAGAAAGGTCTTCCTTTGCCGTTGGTTCACCCTCCAATGGCCACCGCAGCCGGCGCGCTGCGGCCGGCACACCGCGTTGATCCGAAGGCAGGAGCCAGGTGCTTCCTCCTGGTCTCCCATGGGGTGCAGGGCCCAAGCACCTGGGCCATCCTCCACTGCACTCCCTGGCCACAGCAGAGAGCTGGCCTGGAAGAGGGGCAACCGGGACAGAATCCGGCGCCCCGACCAGGACTAGAACCCGGTGTGCCGGTGCCGCTAGGCGGAGGATTAGCCTAGTGAGCCACCGTGCCGGCTTACCTTACTTTCTTAGCTTGTGTGGGCAAACTGACTTTGTAGCCCTTGAGATGGACCTTGGCATTTGGGAGAAAACATCCCCAGAGTCCCTCAAATTCCCAGATTCTCAAGTTGCCACTGAGCACACAGATTCATAGACAGCCACAATCAGAGGCCCCGTTGTGGCTGGGTAGCCAGATCCAAGTCCCTCCTCAGGCAAGTTTGTGCCTCATGCATCCCAGCCCAGAATCAAATGTACTTTAGAGGGTTCAGATTGTGCCAAAGCCTGGATTTTTAAGTTTCTCTAGGGAGGTCAAATTCTGTCACCTGAAACCTGAGAAACTCAAGGGCCTTAACAATTTCACTCTTTCAACATTTTTAGGCACTTTCTGATTTACCCTTGATGATTTTGTAGAATTGAAATGTTTGATAAGTGATTGTTTTGATAAGTGGCCTTGGCTTATGTGGATGGTTAAATTTTGAAATAAGTAGTTTGTTGCTTCATGTGTGTGGTTTGTTTTTGTTTTTGAGATACATCCTGAATAATTGAGAAATAAATGGGATTTGCTTAGAAAGTGCTATTTATTGAACTTTATAATGAAGTTCAAGGTGGTTCGTGCTATTGAAAAAGAAACAGGTATAGAAAAGGAATAAATGACTGAGAGAAGATAATAATACTAGTGTGGTGACTTATGTTCTAATTTTTATTGGAATATTTACTTTCCTAGAACATTTTTCCAAGCTAAGGTCAATTGCTTTTTGGTTTTGTGCGTGATTATCTGCATGAGTACTTTGTGCAATTGATTAATATTTTGAGGTCAAGAAATAGGGAGAGCCGTGTGTGAAAGGTTTCCTGCACTATTATGGGAGCAATGCTGTGTATGCCCACTGAAGGCTGAAGACTCGAGGTTTTGCCAAATGCATTAACCTAGCTAAATACCTATAGTTTCTGTAGGGTTACATGTTAACTTGTCTTATATTCCATATGATTACTGAACTTTACTATTCTTTTTATTAAGTGAATTAAAGATTCATTTCTGCCTTTTTGTTCCTTAGTTTTTGTATTTTTTGACCTGACAGTAGATGATCAGTCAGTTTATCCTAAGGAATTAAGAGATGAATACATCATGTCCAAAACTCTTGGAAGGTAAATTATTTTTTTCTTACATAAATTGTACTTCAGTTTTTCCCACACATTTGTCATCAGTTAGTTTTTCATTCCTGGTTTTATATTAGTCATTGTCTGTTTATAACATGTTTGTAAGGTGTATGTTTGTGATAGGAGTGTCATTGGTTTCTCTGATAATGATCAATGGAAATGAACGTTTTTTGTTTTTTTTTAAGATTTATTTATTTGAAAGGCAGAGTTACAGAGAGAGAGAGAAGGAGAGACAGAGAGAGAGGTCTTCCATCTGCTGGTTCACTCCCTAAATGGCTACAACGGCCAGAACTGGGCCAGGTCAAAGCCAGGAGCCAGGTGCTTCTTCTGGGTCTCCCCTCTGGGTGCAGGGGCCCAAACATTTGGGCTGTCCTCCGCTGCTTTCTCAGATGCAATAGCACAGAGCTGGATTGGAAGTGGAGCAGCCAGGACTCTAACTGGCATCCATATTGGATGCTGGTGCTGCAGACTATGCTTAACCCACCATGCCACAACGCTGGCCCCTGGAAATGAACTTTTTTTTTTTTTTTTTTTAAGATTGATTGATTTATTTGAAAGGCGCAGTTACAGAGAGATAGAGAGAGAAAGATCTTCCATCTGCTGGTGCACTCACAAAATGGTTGTAAAGGCCAGGGCTGGGCCAGGCCGAAGCCAGGAGCCTCTTCCAGATCTCGCACATGGATGACAGGGGCCCGAGTTCTTGGGCCATCTGCTGCTGCTTTCCCAGGCACAGTAGCTGGGAGCTGGATCAAAAGCAGAGCTGCTGGGATTTGAACTGGCACTCCTGTGATATGCTGGTATCGCAGGCTGTGGCAAGCTTAACTTGCTGTGTAGCATGCTGGCACCGGGTGATAACTTTTTTTTTAAAATCTATTTTATTTATTTGAAAGAGTTACAGAGAGAGATAGAGAGAGGTCTTCCATCTTCTGGTTTACTCCTCAAATGGCCGTACTGGCTGGAGCTGAGCTGATCCGAAGCCAGGAGCCAGGAGCTTCTTCCGGGTCTCCCACCTGAGCACAGAGGCCCAAACACTTGGGCCATCCTCTGCTACTTTTTCAGGCACATTAGCAGGAAGCTGGATCAGAAGTGGAGCAGCTGGGACTTGAACTGGTGCCCATACGGGATGCTGGCGCTATAGGTCAGGACTTTAACTTGCTGCCCCACAACATCGGCCTCTGGTGATAACTGTTTAAAAGCAGTTTTATTGTGATGTACTTCACACACCATACAATTTACTTAAAGTGTGCAATTTAAGGATTTTTAGTATATTTGCAGAGTTGTAAAATCATCACTCGGAGTCAGTTTTAGAACATTGCATCAGCTCCTGACAACACAGAGTCATTGCTTTTCTGAGATGTGCATAATTTGTGCCATCCTGGGATGTGAAGTGAAACTGAAAATTGAGTGTGAACTCGGGCAAAGTTCCTGAAATTTTTGGTCTTAGGGCCCCAAATAGCTTTTGTTTTTACATTGCCTAAATCTATTGATACTTATTGTGTTAAAAATTTGGGAAATTTTTGTATTACTTCATTAAACTAGCTACATGTTAAAAGAAGTAGCATTGTTGATTAAAAATTACTTGAAAAAGTTGCTGAGAGAGGAGGTGTTTATCTTTAAAATGACCGTAGCCCACACTGGAGTTCCTGGGTTTCATTCCTCACTCTTGCTCCTGACTCCAGCTTCCTGCTAATGTGGACTGGTGATGGCTCAAGTAGTTGGATTCCTTCTACCCTTAGCACATACCAAATACAAAAATCAACTCAAAGTGGAATAAAGAATAAAGTGTAAGAGGTAAATCTATAAAATTCTTGGAAGAAAATCGGGTCCACTCTGAATTACCTTGCATTTGGCAATTTTTTTTTAAAAGATTTATTTATTTATTTGAAACTCACAGTTAGAGGGAAAGACAGAGATATAGAGAAAGAATCCTCCATCTACTGGTTCACCCCCTGCATGACTGCAATGGCCAGGACAGGGCCAGGCCGAAGCCAGGAGCTAGGATCTTCATCTGGCTCTCCCTCATGGGTGCATGGGCCCAAGTACCTGGGCCGTCCTCTGCTGCTTTGCCCAGGCCATTAGCAGGGAGCTGGATTGGAAGTGGAGCAGATGGGACACAAACCGGTGCCCATATGGGTGCTGGCGTTGCAGCTGGTAGCTTTACCCACTGTGCCACCATGCTGGCACCTGGTATTGTTTTCTGAAATAGAACAATAAGGATACCAGCAATGAAAGAAAAAAATAGATAAATTAGACTTCCTCAACATGAATAACTTTTGTACATCAGAAAACTATCAAGAGAATGAAAATATAACCCATAGCACATAAAAATCTTTCAAATCATATATCTGATAATATCTGATAAAGATCTATATGCAAAATAGGTAAAAATTGCTAGGGGCTGCTGCCTGCAGTGCCAGCATCCTATATGGGCACTGGCTCGAGTTCCTGCTGCTCCACTTCCGATCCAGCTCTTTGCTATGACCTGGGAAAGCAGTTGAAGATGGCCTCGCACGGGAAGCTCCTGGCTCCTGGCTTTGGACTGATGCAGCTCCGACCATTGCAGCCATCTGGGGAGTAAACCAGCAGATGGAGGATCGCTCTTTCTCTGCCTCCTCTTCTCTCTCTGTGTAACTCTGACTTTCAAATAAATAAATAAATCTTTAAAAAAAATTACTAAGACTCAACAACAAAGAGAACCAACCTCCAATTTTAAAATGGGCAAAGTCCTTGAGTAGACATTTTTCTAAACACATACAGATGGCCAAAAATCCCATCAGAAGATGTTCAGCATGATTAGTCATTAGGGAAATGCAAATGAAAACCACAGTGAAATACCACTTCACACCTACCCACTAGGATGACCAAAAGGAGCACAAAATAAATGTTGGTGAGGTTGCTAAGAAATTAGAGCCCCGTACACTGCTTGTGGGAGTGTACAGTCATGTAGCTACTTGGAAAACAGCATGATCTGAAAGTTAAATGCAGACTTTTAAATGACCGAGACATTTTCCTCCTATGTATATATACTCATTTATGTATGTTAAATTGAAAACAGATATTCAAACAAAAACTTGTACATGAATACTCATAGCAGCTCTGTTTCCAATGACAAAATCTAGTCATCTATTTTTTTCTTTATTTGCTTTGTGCTTTTGGTGTGATTTTCAAGAAATTATTCACAAAAGATAGAAACATCCCAAATAAATGTCCATCAAGAAATGAATGGGAGAAGGCATTTAGCCTAGTGCTTAACATGCCTGTGTCCCAGACTGGAATGTCAGGATCTGAGTCCTGGCCCTGGCTTCTGACTCCTGCTTCCTGCTAATGCACACCCTGGGAGGCAGCGGTGTTTGCATTCCTGTCATCCATGTGGGAGACCTGGATTGTGTTCCCAGCCCCAGCTTTGGCTCCGGCCCAGCCTTTCCCTTTGCAGGCAATTGGGTATTGAAACAGTGAATGGGAGATTTTTGTTTCTCTGTCTCTTTTCTGTCTGTCTCTGTCTCTCAGATAAACAAATAGAATTGTTTTGGTTTCATGGGTGAAGTAGTGGCCTGCGATGCTGGCATCCCATATGAGAGCTGGTTCAAATCCTGGTTGCTCCCCCTTCGATCTGGCTCCCTGCTGTTGTGCCTGGGAAAGCCGCAGAGGATGGCCCAAGTGCTTGGGCCCCTGCACCCACATTGGAGACCCGGATGAGACTTCTGGCTCCTGGCTTTGGTCTGACCCAGTCCTGGCTGTTGTGGCCATTTAAGCAGTGAACCAGCAGATGAAGATCTGTATACTGAACTGTATACTTTCACATTCCTATAATGATAAATTTTATGTAATTTTAGAGTATATATACTTTTTTAAAGTTTTATTTACTTAATTGAAAGGCAGAGTAACAGGGAGAGACAGAAATAAAAATTTTTTTTAAAGACTCAGTTTACTTGAAAGTCAAAGTTACAGAGGCAGAGGCAAAGAAAGAGACAGGGAGGTCTTTCATCCTCTGGTTCACTACCCCAGATGGCTACAACGGCCAAGCTGAGCTGATCTGAAGCCAAGAGCTAGGAGCCAGGAGCTTCTTCTGGATTTCCCACGTGGTGCTGGGGCCCAAGGACCCAGGCCATAGTGGAGAGCTGGATCAGAAGTGGAGCAGCCGGGACATGAACCGGTGCCCATATGGGATGTTGGCACTGTAGGCGGCAGCTTTACCAGTTATGCCACAGCGCTGTCCCCAGAAATAATTTTTTAAAAAAGATTTATTTTATTTGAAAGGCAGAGTTACAGAGAGGGGTCTCTTCTGTCTGCTGGTTCATTCCCTAAATGGGCATGACTGCCGGGACTGGGCCAGGACAGGCCAAAGCCAGGAGCCTGAAACTCCATGCAGGTCTCCCACATGAGTTGCAGGATTCCAAGTACCTGGGCCATCCTCCGCTGACTTCCCAGGCACATCAGCAGGGAGCTGGATGGGAAGTGGCATGGCTGAAACTCAAACCAGCGCCCATGTGCGATGCTGATGTTGCAAGCTGCTACTTAACCTGATAGCCACAACCCTGGCTGAGGGAAGGGGGAGAGAGAAACACAAGAGAGCACGCTGGAAAGCGAGAGCGCGCTCTCTTCCATCTGCTGTTTTACTCTGTAAACGCCTGCAACAGCTGGGGCTGGGCGAGGCTGAAGCCGGGAGCCAGGACGTCCATCTGGGTCTCTGATGGGGTTGGCAGGGACCGACGTACTTGAGCCGTCACCTGCTGCCTTCCAGAGTCTGCATTGGCAGGAAACTGGAATCAGGAGCTGGAGCCAGGACTCAAACCCAGGTACTCCTATACGGGGTGCTGGGATCTCAAGTGCTAGGCCAAATGCAAGCCCTTGGGTACTCATTTTTCACCAAGAAAGACTGCTAATGTTTCTCTGACCTCTGAGATAAGTGATTCTTTGTGCCGTTCTGAGAGTGTTATGAAGAACTGCAGTAAAACTTAAGCCTGTATCACTCAACTCAGAAGTGGAATTTGGAGCTGACCCAGGGTTGTTGGATGTCCCACAACCAGTCAGGCCCTTGACCTTCACATAGATGGGATTTTACTTGTCCTCTGGATCCAGGGTCAAGGGAAGGACCATCTTTCACTTGCAGTACTCCAGGCTGACGCGGGAGCGCTGGGCTGGTGCTGAAAACATCCTGACAGTCGCTGCTTTTCCCTCTAGTGGTGCCTGTGGAGAGGTGAAGCTTGCTTTTGAAAGGAAAACGTGTAAGAAAGTAGCCATAAAGATCATCAGCAAAAGGAAGTTTGCTATTGGCTCTGCAAGAGAGGTTGTAAGTACCTGAGTTTGTGGCTACTCACCTATTACACTTTTCCACGACTTTCCAAAGACTCTTTTTTCAAAAAAAAATTATTTATTTTCATCTGCTTGAAAGGCACATATACATACACACACACATATATATATACACATATACATGTGTGTGTGAGAAAAACAGAGAGATATCTTTTTTTTTTTTTGGACAGGCAGAGTGGATAGTGAGAGAGAGAGAGAAAGGTCTTCCTTTTTGCCGTTGGTTCACCCTCCAATGGCCGCCACAGCTGGCGCACTGTGGCCGTTGCACCGCGCTGATCCAAAGGCAGGAGCCAGGTGCTTCTCCTGGTCTCCCATGGGGTGCAGGGCCCAAGCACTTGGGCCATCCTCCACTGCACTCCCGGGCCACAGCAGAGAGCTGGCCTGGAAGAGGGGCAACCGGGACAGAATCCGGTGCCCCGACCGGAACTAGAAGCCGGTGTGCCGGCGCTCCAAGGCGAAGGATTAGCCTAGTGAGCCGTGGCTCCAGCCAAGATATCTTCTGTCTGCTGATTTACTTCCCAAATGCCTGCAGCAGCCAGGGTTGGGCCAGGTCAAAGCCAGGAGCCCAGAGCTTCTTCTGTGTAGGTGCAGGGGCCCTAGGACTTGGGCCATCCTCTGCTACTTTTCCAGGCACAGTAACGGGGAGCTGGATCAGAAGTAGAGTAGCTGGAACTCGAACCCGTGCCCATATGGGATGCTGGCGTTGCAGACTGTTGTTTAACCTATTGTGCCACAGCATCGGGAAGACCTAATGCTCAGACATGAGAATTCATGAACATCAAAGAACATAGAAAATTCTTGAGTATCTTGGGTTAATCTAGAAATTCTTGTAGCTTCTTTGTTTCTAAAAATATTTGGTTGTACATCTACACAGCAGGAAATTTTTTTTCTCCTTCAAGTTCAAAGTTGTTACAAGACTTCTTAACAATAATTGAGAGAGGAGGAAGAAATAAAAAAGCCAGTCACAATGCCACCACTGTAACCTCACAGCTGTTTCCAGTTTTCCTATTCCTTTTAGTCTTTGTTCATATGAATTCATGTTTTTAGATGGTTGAAATCGTGTCGTGTATACAGATTTGTATTCTGCCTTTCCGCATATGTATTACAGCATACACTTTGCCCTCCAACATCTTTTCTGATGATTGAGTCTGCATTTCATAAACTCGGCCTTGATTTTCTCAGCCTTCCCCCTGCTTGATCCTTGCGACGATTTCCAGTACTTTGCTGAGTCATGTAGCAATGGATAGTGTCGTAATTATAGATATTTACATTTTAGTTAAATTATTAACAGTCTTTCTACCTAGTAGCTATTCGTTTTACCATACTTTCTGTACTGCACATTTTCTGTAAGGGTGAGATGGCCAAATGTAGTGGTCTTTTCACAGATGACCCAAGAAAGGAATGTGAAACCCAGCCCCTAATCACACTTCCCTTTGTGGCCAGCTGTTTCTGGCTATTATGCCTTAACATTCTTTTAAGATCTTTTTCCCTCCTGGACAATGCCATGCTCACTTCGCAGGAGGGGTTTCCTGTGTTCACTGTGTTATAAATCTTTCCCCCTGTGATTCTGAACTTCATTTTGGGGAGAAGAAAATTATCTATCAGATTGTTCGAAGCCTGGAGTAAATGTTTACCTCTTGATTTCATTCTCTGAATCATACCGGACTCTTTTTTTAACCCCTCTCTTATCAGAGTATTTACACACTGGCTTGGTAATGAGTTTAGTGGCTCACAGGAAAAGGCAGGCTTTTAAAATTAAACATCTGGCTTTCTTAGCCACGTCCATTTTACATAAATGTGTAATTCTATACCCTCTTTGTGGAGGGTGTAGCCTGAGAGGTTAGCTTACTCAAATCCTCCTTCCTTTTGGAATTGTAACAGCACAGCTTCAGTCCCCTGCAGCTTCCTCTCATCAGAGCCTCAGCAAACACCTGGATGGCAGCCTGAAGTTCAAGTTGGAACCTGTGCCTGTATCTGCTCTATTATTAGAGATTTGACTTTTTTTTTTTTTTTTTTAACAGATTTATTTCTTTGTGGAAAGGCAGAGAGAGGGAAAGGGAGAGATAGAGGTCTTCCATTTGCTGGTTTACTCTCTCAGTGCCCACTACAGGCAGATCTGAGCCAGGACTGAAGCTAGGGGCCAGGAATTCCATCCAGGTCTCCCACATGGATGGCAGGAGCCCAAGTGCTTGGGCCATCTTCCACTGCCTTCCTAGGTCGTTAGCTAGAAGCTGGATTGGAAGCAAAAGAGCCAGACTTGAATCGGCACTCTGATATAGGATGCTGGTGTCACAAATAGCAGCTTAACCTACTGTCATAACACCGGCCCCGACATGTTCTTCGTGCGGTTGAATTAGACATCTTCTTGTCCATAATTTTTATCACTTTTATAAATATAAATGGTCCCATAGCTAATGACAGGTATTGCTTACTAGTTAACTAAAATAAGCTAAAAAATTGTGAAAATACACTTGTTTCTGATTGTGGGAACTGGGTGAGTGGCATCCCTTCTCCAAGCCTCAGTTAAGTGAGGGTAATTGTAGAATTCAGTTCTTTTGGGGATTCTGAGGCTTATGTGAGATAATCCTAAATAAATAAAGAGTGGGACTGGCATTGTGGTACAGTGGGTTAGCTGCCACCTGAAATACCAGTGTCTCATGTGAGCACTGGTGTGAGTTCCTGGTGATCTGCTTCCAGTCCAGCTCCCTGCTGGTATACCTGGGTGAGCAGCAGCAGATGGCCCAAGTACTTGGGTTCCTGACACACATGTGGGAGACTCGGTTGGAGTTCCAGGCTCCTGGCTTTGGCCTGACCTGGCACAGACTGTTGCAGTCATCTGGGGAGTGAACTAGTAGATGGAAGATTCTTTCTCTCAACTGCCTTTCAAATAAATAACTGGTTTTTTTTTTTTTTTTTTCAAGTAAAGAACTTGGCCCAGGGCTTGATGATTGACTGAATGCTCACTATTTGCCAAGTGCTTTGAAAGTAATTTTAATGGCTTATTTAATTCATTGACCCCTAGGTCTTCATTTCTTTGGATGAATAGAGTTGGGTTTGGAACTTAGGCAGGTTTTCTCAAATGTTTAATTCTATTTATGAAATATTGGCTATTATTGTTCTTGTTAATAACTAGTATTATTCTTATTAATAACTTCTGCATTATTCTGCTTATCTAAGGACCCGGCTCTCAATGTTGAAACAGAAATAGAAATTTTGAAAAAGCTGAATCATGTAAGTATTGCCACAAAATATGCCCCAGACTTAAATTTATTTATCTTGTAATATGGGAAAAATAAATCATTTCAATGTAATAGACCTAGTATTTAACCTGGGTTTCTTAATTCGTGTGTGTGTGTGCACAAGTGCCTATCAGTTATTTAGCTGTGAAGAATTTTACCTCCAAATTTTGAGAGGTCAATACTGTATAAAGATTTCTTTCTTTCTTTTTTTTTGAGAGGTAGACTTACAGACAGAGAGAGGGGCCCAAGCACTTGGGCCATCTTCTACTGCTTTCCCAGGCCATCTCAGAGAGCTGGAGCAGAAAAGGAGCAGCTGGGACATGAACCAGTGCCCATATGGGATTCTGGTGTAACAGTTGGAGGCTTAGCATACTGTGCCATAGCACCGGCCCCCAAGATTTCATAACTAAATAATTATGTCTTTCCATTGAGTTAGTTCTTGACCAAAAGGCATAGTAATTCGATCTCAAATGGACTTGACAAACTGAGTACACATGCTAATTTTAGTAATTTTGGTTTAATCTGAAGTTTCAGCACCTTTAAATACCTTTTATTTGGAGTAATCTAAATAAATCCAAGGGTACCCAAGAAGTATGACAACATCCTTTATATCAAGTGGTCTCAGTGACTTTGTTGGATGTACATAGTTTTTAACATTTTTGTGCAATGATGATTTGGAGATCATCATTGAAAGTGATGTCTAATTTTTTTTTTTATTTTTATTTTTTATTTGACAGAGTTAGACAGTGAGAGAGAGAGAGACAGAGAGAAAGGGCTTCCCTCTGCTTGTTCACCCTCCAAATGGCCGCTACAGCTGGCTACGCTGATCCGAAGCCAGGAGCCAGGTGCTTCCTCCTGATCTCCCATGTGGGCGCAGGGACCCAAGCACTTGGGCCATCCTCCACTGCTTTCCCAGGCCACAGGTGAGAGCTGGATCAGAAGTGGAGCAGCTAGGACTCGAACTGGAGCCCATATGGGATGCTGGCACTGTAGGTGGCAGCTTTACCTACTACGCCACAGCGCTGGCCTCCCTGCTTTCTTTTAATTCCCTTGCAACTTATTCCTCCTCCCTGAACTCCACCAGGTGCTTTTTCTAAGAGATTGGGAATCTCTTTAAAGAGAGGAATACTGGGGCTGGCATTGTGGCGCATGGATTAAGCCACTGCCCATGCAGCCAGCATCCCATGTGAGTACCAGCTCATGTCCCAGCTGCTCCACTTCTGATCCCGCTCCCTGCTAACATGCCTGGGAAAGCAGCGAAAGATGGTCCAAGTGCCTGGACGCCTGCCACCATTGTGGGAGACCTGGATGGAGCTCTAGGTTCCTGGCCTCATCCTGGCCCAGGCTGTTGCAGTCATCTGGGAAGTGAACCAATTGATGGAAGATCTCTGTGTCTGTGTCTGTCTCTGTCTCTCCCTCTCCCTCTCCTTCCCTCCCTCCCTCCTTGTCTCCTCTGTGTAACTCTATGACTGTCAAACAAATAAGTAAATCTGTAAAGAAAAAAAAAAAAAAGGAATGCTATAATTTTCTGGGTGTGATTGCAACAAACATACCCTAAGATAAACACTTAGAATTCTTAATTTCTTGGCAGTTTGGCATATGGAACACATGAGTGAGTTTTTCTTTTTCTTTTCTTTTTTTTTAAAGGTTTTTTTTATTTATTTGAAAGTCAGAATTAGAGAGAAGAGACAGAGTAAGAGATCTTCCATCTGCTGGTTCACTCCCCAAATGGGAAGCCAGGAGCTTCTTCCTGGTTTCCCACATGGGTGCAAGGGCCCAAGAACTTGGGACATTTTCTGCTGCTTTCTCAGGTACATTAGCAGGGAGTTGGATTGGTAGTGGAGCAGCTGGGACTTGAACCAGCACCCCTAGGGGATGCCAGCGCTGCAGGTGGCAGCTTAACCTGCTGCACCACAGCACCAGCCTACCTTCTGTCACCACCTCACTTTTTTTTTTTTTAACCACATATGTGGATCACCAAACAAATATTGTTTTACTGCTTGTTTCTGAGCCTTATAAAAATGACCCTGTACTCTTAGAGGTTGTTTGTGACTTGCCTTTCCATGGGGCATTATGCTTCTGTGGTTTGTCTGTATTGGGGAAGCAGTTTGTCTTGGGAACGGCCCACCTAAGAGTCTTCATCAGAATGCGGAACATGATGAGATTTGCTCTGGGGGCCAGTGTTGTGGCACAGGAGGTTAATTCACTACTTCCAGTGCCCACAGCTGTAAGGGAGTGCAGGTCAAGACCTGACTATTCTGTTTCCCATCTAGTTTCCTGCTAATGTGCCTGGGGAGGCAGTGGAAGATGGCTCAGCTTCTTGGGCCCCTGCCACTCAAGTGGGAGACCGGGATGTAGTTCCTGGCTCCTGGATTCATCCTGGCTCAGATCTGGCTGTTGGAGCCATCTGGGGAGTGTGAATCAGCAGATGGAAAATGTCTCTCTGTCTCTCTTTCACTCTATGTTGTCCCTTCATATCAATCAGTCTTTAAAAAACCCAAAGATACTGTTCTTCACTTGGCTGGGACCCAGCTCCTATCCAACCTAGAAAGCTGGTCACCTCTTGTTTATAACAAAACACGGAAGGAAAGAAGGAAGGGAGGGAGGGAGGAAGGAAGGGAGGGAGGGAGGGGGAAAGAAAGAAAAGAAATTTGCTTTATATGAAGATTACTGGCAAGTTGTTATTCCCCCTTTTAATTTAAGACCTGAAACTCTTGTAGCTGCTCTCTTTTTGGCTCTGTGAGCTTAGTCCTGCATGCTGGGCTGTGTATCCCTGAAGCACAATCACCCAATCAATCATTCAAGCAATCCTGGCCTGGACATGGCTGTTGCAAGCATCTGGGGAGTGAGCCAATGGATGGGAGATTTCTCTTTCTGTCTCTGGGCCTCTCAAATAAAGTTAAATAAATAAATAAAAATTTAAAATTAGAATTTCTCCTTGCCTTTGAAATAGTAGAGTCCAACTGTGCTCTGGTTCCAGTTGCCTGGAGCTGAATAACACTGCTGTCTGGCAATGTGGCTGGTTCCCCCACTTGTCTTGTTTGTTTGCTTGTTTCTTTCTTTCTTTTTTGAAGATTTATTTTATTTATTTGAAACCAGAGCTAGAGAGAGAGGGAGAAATCTTCAGTCTGCCGGTTCACTCCTCAAATGGCTACAGCAGCCAGCCTGGGCCGGGCTGAAGCCAGGCGTCCAGAATTCTATAGCGTTTCACACGTGGGTGCAGGGGCTCAAGCACATGGGTCATCTTCTGTTACTTTCCCTGCTGGATTGAAAGCAGAGCAGCCAGGATTCAAACTGGGGTTCTGATATGCTGTGCCAGTGTTATACCACAGTGCCAGCCCCTCTGTGAGCTTTTTGAAGGCTCCTTATATGTATATATTTCAAAATATTTTGCGCCAAAATCCATTTATCTTTTAGTTCTGTGTTTCCATGAACTTTCTGAAGTGCCCTTGTTTGAAATTGTCGCTCATCAACTTGGGGTGGAAGGTTTCTTGCATGTTCTGAGGAGTCAGCTAGATTCTCTCCTGCCTTTTCCCCAGTTGAACTTCAAAGCCTGCTAAAGCAGGGGGCCAGATGCCCTTGGCCTTCAGACCCCCCCATTCAGATGTCCCAAGTTTACTGCTGTGTACTCCTGGAAGTTTCTCACTACTTTTCCTTTTTCCCTTCTTTTTTAGCCTTGCATCATCAAGATTAAAAACTTTTTTGATGCAGAAGATTATTATATTGTTTTGGAATTGTAAGTAGTAAACTTCTTAAATTTGTCATTCCATTTAAATCTGTACAAGCCAGCTAAGAATTGAATGTAGGCTTGTCTTTCATGTTAGGGACCCTAAACGGATATATATGCATATGGGACCACAAAGTATGTGTGTGTGTGTGTGTGTGTGGTGTGTGTGTTGGGAGAGAGGTTTGTATCCATTCTTAAAACCCTGCAATGTTTCTGTAGACAGTCTTGGATTCCAGGCCCTGTCTGAGGCCTGCTTTTTTTTTTTTTTTTTTCTTTTTGACAGGCAGAGTGGATAGTGAGAGAGAGAGACAGAGAGAAAGGTCTTCCTTTTTGCCGTTGGTTCACCCTCCAATGGCCGCCATAGCTGGCACGCTGCGGCCGGCGCACCGCGCTGATCCGATGGTGTCGCTCCCCCTCTTCGTGGAGGAACGACACTAAACCCTGCCTAGGCTTCATATCTGAGTCACGGCACCATTATGTCGCTCCCCGTCTTCGTGGAGGAACGACACAGGACCCTGCGCTGTTCTTTTGTCTGCTCGGCCCTCCCCGGGTTTGCTGCTGGTTCTTCCCGGGTTGGCTACCATCCCTCCACCTCCGTGGAAGGGCGGTTCCCCCTGCCACTTTCCCCACTTCCGCGGGGGAGTGGCATACCGCCGGCCGGCTCTCTCGGGGGCTGCACAGGTCTTCCTTCAGATAGATGTTCCTGGTGCATGTTGTCTCTCTCCTCCTTTATAGTCCTCTTCCACCAATCCCAACTCTGCTACCCACATGCTGAGTACGCTGCTCTCCTCCAATCAGGAGCAGGTCCTGCTGTTTATTGGTTGAACTGGAGGCAGCTGTGTAGAAGCTGTGTCCTCCTCTCCCAGCGCCATATTGTGGGAGAGCAGATGCATAGAATAAGTCTTAATTTCAGTAACAGTCTAGTCCGAGTTGCTCCCAGTTGCTCCCCACACGATGGCAGGAGCCAGGTGCTCCTCCTGGTCTCCCATGGGGTGCAGGGCCCAAGCACTTGGGCCATCCTCCACTGCACTCCCTGGCCACAGCAGAGAGCTGGCCTGGAAGAGGGGCAACCGGGACAGAATCCAGCGCCCCGACCAGGACTAGAACCCGGTGTGCCGGCGCTGCAAGGCTGAGGATTAGCCTAGTGAGCCGCGGCGCCGGCCCTGAGGCCTGCTTTTGTACATTTCTCTGCAGGTAGCTAGCTCACTGTCTGTTAGCAGAGATTGGTGAGGAGAACAGTGGTAAGCAATGTAGCAAGATTTCGTGGGGTAGGGCATCCGACAGAACAGATGGGACAGAATCCGAGAGAGATTGCACAGTCACTCAGACTGGGGAAGGCAAGGTTACGTGGTTAAATGGAGAGAACAACTCACAGGCCAGGCAGGCAGCTCAGCAGAGAGCTGAGTGCTGAGCACATGTTCTGTATTCAGGCTGGGGCTTATAAGAGAAAAGGGTCCAGTTCTGCCCACTGTCCCCCCTGCCCCTAAAGGAGTATGAATTAGGTAAAATTCCTCCTAAGCTTTCACTACTCAGTGCCATCAGACCAGGGAGCCCACCTGGCACAGGGCAGAGGTTGCACCCCTAGGGTGCCTGCCTTGGAGGTTTTATTATGTTATCAAACACGGCAACCCATCTCGGGGGAAGGGCTGAGACCGCCTCTACAGTTATCAGGGCCTGGGCGGGACTTTGAAGGGTAGAATCCTGGGCTGTTTCCAAGGGGAGCTTCCGCAGATGCTGTGTTTTCCTCAGGCCCCTCTCACACACACAGGCTAATTTCTAACTTCCTACTTAACATGTCCATAGGTGGGTTTGCTCCGTTTCTCCGTCTTGTTTAGTGTTAAGTGGGGATAATAATGATACCTCCGTGCCCAGAGTACTTGGGAGGATTGCATGCCCCGAGCCCAGGAAAGCCTCAGCAGAGGACCTGGCGCACCTAGCCCCCCACTCAGTGGGTTGATGTCATTATTTTGAAACACCTGCCTGAGTGGATCATTCTGCTCAGACTCACGGGACCAGGGTGCATAGTGGCACCAAGTATCTTTTAATGTCTTGCTAGTTTATTCAGTGGCCATAGCATTTCGTCTTATTTGGTGTGACTGAAACAATTTCCTGCCTTCTTGCTGGAAGACATCTGTCTTGATGTCCACTCTGACATAAATATGCAGGGTTTCTGGGAATGTCAGGCAGGAGGCAAACAGCAGCTGTGCAGGTTGACCATTATGATTATGTAGACAATAAGCAGAGCCTGGGTCATAGCTCTAGGGGAGACTCTTGGCCTTTGTGTTGCCTAAGGGAATGTCTGTTTCCCTGACCATATCCAGGTAACCCAGCTGAATGACATTGATAATAATACAATAACAGGGCCAGCGCCACGGCTCACTAGGCTAATCCTCCGCCTTGCGGCGCCAGCACACCAGGTTCTAGTCCCGGTCAGGGCGCCAGATTCTGTCCTGGTTGCCCCTCTTCCAGGCCAGCTCTCTGCTGTGGCCCGGGAAGGCAGTGGAGGATGGCCCAAGTGCTTGGGCCCTGCACCCCATGGGAGACCAGGAGAAGCACCTGGCTCCTGCCATCGGATCAGCGCGGTGCGCCAGCCGCAGCGCGCCGGCCGCAGCGGCCATTGGAGGGTGAACCAACGGCAAAGGAAGACCTTTTTCTCTGTCTCTCCCTCTCACTGTCCACTCTGCCTGTCAAAAAAAAAAAAAAAAAAAGTTTAATACAATAACAGTAGCTGATGCTCATTAAGCACCTCCTACAATCCCAGTACTGCTGTGAGCATTTTCTATGGATTGACTCCCTCGTCAATTTCTTACAGATTATGGGTGGGTTGGTGTTTTTACCCCCACTTTAAGGAATGGGAATCGCAGAGGGATGGCATAATCTTGTGGAGCACCTACACTGTGCCGGTTGCTTTACCTACATCAATTTCTTAATTTTTATAAGAACTATTGCAGAAGATGATATCAAACCCATTACTTAAGGTCACAGAGGGTCAATAGCTTCCCCAAAGCCCCATAGCTGAGCAGTGGTAGAGTTGAGGTTCAGACCCCAGTTGTCTGATTGTTTTTTTTTTTTAAGATTTGTTTATTTTTATGAAAGGCAGAGTTGTGTTGGGGGGAGATGAGATCTTCCATCTGCTGGTTCTTTCCTCAGATTGCTGCAACAGCTGGGGCTGGGTCTGTCATGTGGGTAATAGGAACCCAACTACTTGTGTTAGGTAGGAAGTTAGAGATTAGCCCATGTGTGAGGGGCCTGAGGAGAACAAAGTTTCTTCAGAAAAGAATGCAGTAGCCTCTGTGGCAGCCCAGTATTTGCACTTCAAAGTCCTGCCCAGACCCTGTTGACTTTCCAGGTGGTCCCAGCCCTGCCCCCAAGGAAAATTCCCCAGGACAGTTCTCTCTCCTTAGCACCAAATGGGTTACCTGGCCTGTTAACATGGAGCAATAAAACCTTTACAGGCAACCCTGGGGAAGCTCCTCTGCCCAGGCCTGGAGGGCTCCCCAAAACTGGAGAGGAACTTTCCTAATTTATACTCAGCAAACCCTTTGTCCTGGAGGAGAAGAGGGAGGAGTAAAGAGAGACAGCAAGAAGACCCTTTGATCAGCTCTCCACCCTCAGCTGAGCAGCCTGCCTGGCCTGCCAGTGCATTCTCTCCATTTAACCATGGAACCTCGCTCCCCCCCCCCCCCCCCCCCCCCCGGGGTGAGAGGATGGGGCCCCTCTCTCCCCGTGCCCTTCCTTTTGAAAGAAGGCCCGGGCCCCACAAAAACCCCCCAAACTTCCCCCTGTTTCCCGCCCGAAATTTTTTCTGGGGGGGGAAAAAAAAACACCCCCACAACCTTTCACCAAAAATTGGGGCCTCCCCCCCCCGCGTTTTCCCGGCCATTTAAGGGAGCTAGATTGGAAGTGAAGCAGTCGGGACTTGAACTGGTGCCCATTTGGGATTCTGGCTTTGCACTTGATGGTTTAAATGGCTGCCCCACAGTGCTGGCTCCCACTTGTCTGATTTTAAGTTCTTGCTTTGCTTTTCTGTGTCAGTTTCAGAGTCACCTAAGGCTCACGATAAACATGCAAATTCCTGGGCCTCCTCTCTCACCTATGGATTAGGATTTTTGTAAAGACCCCTAAGTGTTTCTAATGCCCATTTCCTTTCATCTTATTCTTTGTTTCCAACCAGGACATCTGATTGTGAATGGGGCTTTAAACACAAGGAGTGGAGAGTGAATAGAAATGGCAACTGTTTGCATGTCTCAGTGAGTTTGCTTGTTACTTTCTTCCATCCCAGTTCCCCTCCAGGAGTGAACCTGCTGCTCTTCTTGTGTGTTTCAGAATGGAAGGAGGAGAGCTGTTTGAGAAGGTGGTGGGGAACAAGCGCCTGAAAGAAGCCACCTGCAAACTCTACTTTTACCAGATGCTCTTGGCTGTGCAGGTGAGAGGAGCCTCTTTATTTATTTTTCTTTCTTTTTTTTTTTTAATTTTTTTTTAAATTTTTTGACAGGCAGAGTGGACAGTGAGAGAGAGAGAGACAGAGAGAAAGGTCTTCCTTTGCCGTTGGTTCACCCTCCAATGGCCGCCACGGCCAGCGCACCGTGCTGATCCGAAGGCAGGAGCCAGGTGCTTCTCCTGGTCTCCCATGCGGGTGCAGGGCCCAAAGACCTGGGCCGTCCTCCACTGCACTCCCTGGCCACAGCAGAGGGCTGGCCTGGAAGAGGGGCAACCGGGACAGAATCCGGCGCCCTGACCGGGACTAGAACCCGGTGTGCCGGCGCCGCAAGGCGGAGGATTAGCCTAGTGAGCCGCGGTGCCGGCCTGATTTTTCTTTTTTTGACAACCTACTTTCAGAAAAATTAAACGGAGAAGCCCAGAGACCGGATTAAAACGCTGAAAGAAGAGTATCTGTGTGTTTGTTGTTCTGTTCTTGGCAAAAACATCGCACCCTTTTGACTCAGATGAAAAAGCTCTCACTGTGAAGTAAGACACACTTAAGAAAGGGAATGAAAGAAATAAACACAGGGTCCCGTGTCTCCTCTCTGAAGCTTGGACATATTTCTAGAGGGTCACTGAACACTAGGTCTGCCTGATCCTTGTACACGTGGCCCTTAACTCTCAGAGTGGAAGCTGGGATGGTCTGAGGGCAAGGCTGGCAGAATTGGGGTGCTTCTGACAGACAGGTTGTTTCTCCATGGCTTGGTGCTAGTGTCACAGAACCAGGACAGGCTCACTTCTTAGGGAGTAGAAATCAACACCTCCACCAGAGAGGCTGTCATATAAAGTAATTGATTTGCAGCAAGTAAGGAGACCACGGGAATCATTTTCAAAGCAGGGACTTTGCAGGAAGAGGGAAATGGGTATCTTTTATTTTTGGGGAAAATGAATATGTAAGAGGAGGAGTGTTTTTTTTTTTTTTTTAAAGAGATTTATTTTATTTATTTGAAAGAGTTATAGAGAGAGAGAGAGCCAGAACAAAAGAGAGGTCTTCCATCTGCTAGTTCACTCCCCAAATGGCTGCAATGGCCAGAGCTGAGCTGATCCAAAGCCAGGAGCCAGGTACTTCTTCCTGGTCTCCCATGCGGGTGCAGGGACTCAAGCACTTGGGCCATCTTCCTTTTTTTTTTTTTTTTTTTGACAGGCAGAGTGGACAGTGAGAGAGAGACAGAGAGAAAGGTCTTCCTTTTGCCGTTGGTTCACCCTCCAATGGCCGCCGTGGCTGGTGCACTGCGCTGAACTGGTGGCAGGAGCCAGGTACTTATCCTGGTCTCCCATGGGGTGCAGGGCCCAAGCACTTGGGCCATCCTCCACTGCACTCCCTGGCCACAGCAGAGAGCTGGCCTGGAAGAGGGGCAACCGGGACAGAATCCGGTGCCCCGCCCGGGACTAGAACCCGGTGTGCCTGTGCCGCAAGGCGGAGGATTAGCGTAGTGAGCCACGGCACTGGCCATTGGGCCATCTTCCACTACTGTCCCAGGCCACAGCAGAGAGCTGGATTGGAAGAGGATCAGCTGGGACTTGAACCAGCGCCCATATGGTATTCTGGTGCCACAGGCCAGGGCTTTAATCAGCTACGCCACAGCGCCGGCCTTGAAAAGTTCTTGTCATCACATGTAGCCAAGCTCATGCAGGCGTAGTTTGGAACATGTTCCAACATACATTGTTATGGTCATATAAAGCTTAGACTCCTCCTGGAGCAGAGATCTTAGCATTAGAAGACCCATCAGTCCGGGTGTTGTCCTTGGCAGTAAGGTCTAGACCAGTTCAAGACGGCTGGGGATTGCATCTCTCACCAGACGTCACTGAAAACTTGGAAAACAGCTTTGGAAAGCATTGGGTGCTTTGGAAGCCTTAGGGTTTGGAAGTAGAAGTGAATCACCAATAAAGAATTCTGAGTGCTCAGGGCCTTCGCCAGATGGTAGGTGCTCTCTGCAGTTGCAGCACCCTGGTAACTGCATTCACGGGTGGGTAGGGCAGGTGTCCAGCCTCCTCTTTCCTGGTCAGTGAAAGTGTTGGATGGAGGAACAGCTGGTGGCCCTCTGCTGCAAGGATCTCCATTTCCCAAACCAAATCTAATCATGACGATTCCCTACCAAAGTCGTCTCTCTCTCTCTTTTTTGTTTTTTCCCCTTGAAGCCCCACTCCAAGTAGGAAGTGCAGTGATTGGGAGCAGTTCTTGTGTTATGTGAGGACCGAGGGTCACTTTTCTGGGATTGGTCTGCCTGAGTTTGCCCTCTCTGAAGGTTTCACCAGATCAATTCCTGGTGGAAAATTTTGGGATGAATTTGGGATGAATTTTTGCTCCAGACCACAGGAAGATTGAAGTCCAGGAACATGAACCCTTTTTAATGGTATCACCCATCCAGTGTTTTATCTTCTTTTAGTTTATTCTTTCTCTTAGATTTTGCAACCTAGGTAATTAAAATGGGTTGGGAAGACATTGTGGGTGTGGGAATTTTTTTTTCCCCCCACAGGCAGAGTGGATAGTGAGAGAGAGAGACAGAGAGAAAGGTCTTCCTTTGCCATTGGTTCACCCTCCAATGGCCGCCACGGCTGGCGCACTGCGGCTGGCACACCGCGCTGATCCGAAGGCAGGAGCCAGGTGCTTCTCCTGGTCTCCCATGCAGGTGCAGGGCCCAAGCACTTGGGCCATCCTCCACTGCACTCCCTGGCCACAGCAGAGAGCTGGCCTGGAAGAGGGGCAACCAGGAAAGAATCCGGTGCCCTGACCGGGACTAGAACCCAGTGTGCCGGCGCCGCTAGGTGGAGGATTAGCCTATTGAGCCGCGGCGCCGGTGGGAAATTTTTAATTCCCAAAGAAATATGACATAGTATGTTGTTTGTGTGTGTTAATGTATAATATTATTCTTAACATTCAAATACATCATTTCTGGTGGAATTTCTATATTCACTTTAGTATATTATCAAAATACTTTGTGTCATTTAAATTTTTATTGAAATCCATTTTATATTTCAACAGATGCAAAGGGATGTTTATTATCTTAAGAAGTGAAATAAGAGGATTACTGTCCTAAGTCACTGTTCTCATTTTTGAACTTTTAAAATATTTTCTTGAAAACCCTTCCCCCCGCAGTTTTTTTTTGTATGATTTTGGAAAACATGGTTGTCTGGCTTCATTCAGCTGTAAGGTGCATGTGTTGGTAACTGTCTCTACTCACATACCTACTGCATACATCCAAGGTCATGCTCCCCTTTCTGTGTAGTATCTGCACGAAAATGGCATTATACATCGCGACTTAAAGCCAGAGAATGTACTGCTGTCATCCCAAGACGAGGACTGCCTTATAAAGGTAAGAAGTTCATGTTCTGGGTGGCCGATAAAGCACCACCTGCAGTGCCCGCATCCCACATGGGCGCCGGTTCGAGTCCCAGCTGCTCTACTTCCATCCAGCTCTCTGCTATGGCCTGGGAAAGCAGTGGAAGATGGCCCAAGTACTTGGGAACCTGTACCTGCATGGGAGACCTGGAAGAAGCTCCCGACTCCTGGCTTTGGATTGGCTCAGCCCCAGACGTTGTGGCCATTTGGGAAGTGAACCAGCCAATGGAAGACTTCTCTCTCTCTCTCTCTCTCTCTCTCTTGCTGCTGCTGCTGCTGCTACCTCTCTGTAACACTGCCTTTCAAATAAATAAGTAAATCTTAAAAAAAAAAAAAAGTTAATGTTCTGTAGGTGCCATTTCAGATTCCTTTTAGAAACTTTGAATTCTTCAGTAAAAGTGGGAGTGTAAAAATATTGAGAATCTGACTTTTCCACTCTTAACAGTTTCTTTCTTTCTTTTTTTTTTTTTACTTTGAAAGAGAGAGAGAGAATGTGTGTTGGTTAGTTAGTTATTCTCCCCAAATGCCTGCAACAGCCAAGGCTAGCCAATAACTCAATCTGAGACTCCAGCATGGTGGCAGGGACCCAAGTGCTTAAGCCATCACCACTGCCTGCCAAGGTGTGCATGAGTAGGAAGTTAGAATTGGGAGCAGAACCGGGCTCAAACCCAGGCACTCCAACATGGAATGTGGGCATCTTAGTCTCTGTGCTAAATGTCTGCCCCTTAGCAGTTATTTCGGAGACCTGGTAGTGTTGTTCCTATCTGGGTTCTAATGAGCATTTGTTAAGCTGCACTCTGTGTGTGTGTGTGAGAGAGAGAGAGAGAGGGAGAGGGAGAGGGAGAGGGAGAGGGAGTTCTAAATGGATGCATGGATTGCATTCCCTGCCTTTCCCTGCTTCTCAAATTTAGCTTCCATTTAGAATATTAGGATTTTAAAAAATACTGCCCCTCATGTAATCTGAAGGTGTTATCCAGGTGTAAGCATGCTTTTCTAAGCTCCCCAGGTACTCCATGGTGCAACAAGGCTTGAAAACATGGAGTCTAAGAACAATGTGTAGCCAGTTAAACTCCTAGACTGGGATAAGAGTGATACATTTTTTTAGAAGGTTACACAACACAGACAACTTCAGTCTTGAGATTCCTAGGCTGAGATATTTTTAAGTAAAATGTCTTTTTTCTCCTCCAAAATTGATTGATTTATTTGAAAGAGTTACAGAGACAGAAGGAGAAACAGGGAGAGGTCTTCCATCTGCTGGTTCACTCCTCATGTCACTGCAACAGCCTTCATTTGGGTCTCCCATGTGGGTGACAGGGTCCCAAACATTTGGGTCATCCTCTGCTGCCATTTCCAGCCCACTAGCGGGGAGCTGGATTGGCAGTGAAGCAGCTGGACTCGAAGCAGTGCCTATATGGGATGCTGTCATCTCAGGCAGTGGCTTTACCCGCTACACAACAACGTTGGACCCGAAATTAAATATCTGAACTTGCAAAGACATGATTTTGTATATTTCAGATTAGTGACAGATGTGAATTCTGTGATCCTAGAAACATTGCTTACATGGCTTTTAAAAATCATATATTTATTTTAAAGATTTGTTTTTATTTGTTTGAAAGGGAGAGTTAGAGGGAGAGACAGACTCAGAAAGAAATCTGTCTGCTGATTTACTCCCCAAATGGTCGCGATGACTAGACTAGCACAGGCCAAAGTCAGGCAGCTGGAACTCTATCTGGGTCTCCCCCATGGGTGGCATGGGCCCAAGTACCTGGGCTATCTGCTGCCTTCTCTGGCGCATTAGTGGGTAGCTGGATTGGAAGTGGAGCATCTGGGAGCAGCACTTGAACCTGTGCTCATATGAGATGCAAGCATTGTAGGTGGTGGCTTCACCTGCTGTGCTACAACAGTGGCCAAAAAGATATATTTATTTATTTGAAAGGCAGAGTGACAGAAAGAAGGAGAGACAGAAAAAGAGTGAGAAGGAGATCCTCCATCTGCTGGTTCATTCCCTATTGCCCCCCTGAACTGCCAGGGAAAAGCTAATACAAGCCAGGAGCCAGGAAATCTTGGATCTCCCAAATGGGTGGCAGGAATCCAAGTACTTGGGCCATCCATTGCCTCCCAGGTACGTTATGGGGAAGCTTTATTGGAAGTGCAGATAGCCAGGACTCAAATATGGGATAATATGGGTTGTGGATATCTGAAGCTGTGCCACAGCACCCTCCCTTACATGTCTTTTGGGACTGGCAGAGTCTGTTCATCAATACACACACAAACACATACACACACATGTGTATATATACTCTGTATAATATATGTTTATATTATTTGTTATTCCCTTTTGTGCTTATTTTTAGATTACTGATTTTGGGCAGTCCAAGATTTTGGGGGAGACCTCGCTCATGAGAACCTTGTGTGGTACCCCCACCTACTTGGCTCCTGAGGTTCTTCTGTCCATTGGGACAGCCGGGTATAACCGCGCTGTGGACTGCTGGAGCCTGGGCGTCATCCTTTTTATCTGGTAAGAAAAGCTTTCATTGCCTCACAGTCTGGTTGGAGGTGATTAGATGAAATCGTAAACTTGTTCAGATGGATTCCAGGTTTCATTGAGGTCACTTTTCAACCATGGATCTAAAGAAATACTTGATTTTTCATGGTAATGAAAAAGACATCCATATGTCCAAATGCCACTGAAAATGCCACTTGATTTCTTCTCCTTTCTCTTTCTGCCAATATTAAGCCTTAGTGGGTATCCACCTTTCTCTGAGCATAAGACGCAAGTGTCCCTGAAGGATCAGATCACCAGTGGAAAATACAACTTCATTCCTGAAGTCTGGGCAGATGTTTCAGAGAAGGGTATGGATACGAAAGGGTTAAGAGTCTGTGGTTTGCCAAAATGTGTGTGTGCTGTGGTGGGAGCTTCTTTTCAAATTCTATGATATGTTTTCTCCTGTCAATTCTGTTCTTAGCTTCTAGTGTTAGTTTTGCACCACTTGAAAAGCAGAGGAATTTTATTCTAAGAGCCTGGGCTCAAGTCCTGGATCTGCATAGCTGTTTGGCCTTAGGCAGGTAACTTAACCCCTCCCAGTCCCCATTGTCTTTATTTGTCAACTGGGCCCTTAATAACCCTTACTTTAGAGGCCTTTTATAAGGCTTAAGTATCCTTTATACAAGTGCCTGTTTCCCAGTTGAGTGAGCAAAATAATAAGTAACTCTTCAGTTGCAAAGTTTCCTTTAAGTAGTGTAAAAGCCAGATGCCATTGTATTTTATAACTTAAAAGTGCAACCTTGTAATTCCCTGAAGAAGAAGTAGAGAATGAAAACTAAATGTCAAACAATGTAACCTAGGTGATTCTGTTAAATGTCGGAATGTTTAAGGAATAGCATTGTTGGGGTAGATAAACCAGCCTGGAACTGTTGATTGCTGGAGTAGTTCTTTTCCAACAAGGCTGCAGTTCCAGGGAGCCTCTTTCTGGTTTAGGAACTGGCAGCATCAGCCCCTGGGTGAGAGAGAGAGAGAGAGAGCGCGCGAGAGCGAGCTGGCTATGCATCCTGAGTTTCTTACAACTGGGTGAAAGTTCAGCTGTAATTAGTTTTGAACTTGAGTCCAGTAACAGGGAACAGGAGCTGAGAGGTTGTAATGTCCCAGAAGGGAGACACAGGGAGTATCATTATCAACCCAGGTGTTCAGAGTAGAGTACTTTGGACACTGGGAGTGAGGAGGAACAGGGGCCCTGCCCACCGTTCTGCTGACTCCATGGTGATCTCAGACCCTCTCTCTTTCTGGATGGTGGCCTGTAACTCTGGTATACTTTAATATTGCTGATTCCATGTATTGATCCTTTTCACTGTGCTCTGCCCAATTATCTTGTTGCTTTAGCTCTGGACCTCGTCAAGAAGTTGTTGGTAGTGGACCCAAAGGTGCGTCTTACAACAGAAGAAGCTTTAAATCACCCTTGGCTTCAGGTTGGTGTGGGGCAATTTTTGCTAGCATAAAATACATGGAGGGCCCTCAAATGGCAGAGAGAGAGAGAGAGAGAAAGAAGAAGGAGGAGGAAGAGGAGGAAGAAGAGGACAGAAACACATTTGTTTCCTTCGGTCTGTTCAATTATTTTAGATCAAGCTGTAGGTAATAGGTAGGGTGTGGTTGTATGTATATTTGTGGCATGTAATCTCTGTGCTATTATTGAGGCTGTTGGATGGACAAGCACTTTATGGCTTATTCCAGCCCCACTTGGCTGCCCTGAGTCTACATTTGGCTCTGTTCCTTTGAGAGATTTCTCTGGCTCCACCCTTAACAATACTCCACCCCCACCCCCCCACCCCATTCCCTGCCGTCCCAGGATGGGTGGGCTGCATTCCAGCCATCAGCAGCCTTGAATCTGGGAACCTGGGGGAGGTGGAGGAGGGTTGACTTCCTGGGGGAGAATGCAGCTATTTCTCAAGCCCCAGTAATTGGATGTCAGGGTCCCACTTCTGGTTCATGGTGAGTAAGCATGCCATCAGTGTGGGCTGTCACCTGCACCTTTCAAGTCTGCATTACCCTCATCTTCCTGCTGGGGGTTGTGGTTGCCATTCAGTTGTGCACTGACCTCATTTGGAGCTGCCAGAGTTGGAAGTCCTTTGTGGCTTTGCTAGGGTAGTCTTTAGTTTTGGAATTAGCTACAGCATGGGGTAGGATTTCTGATGGATGTCTAGTCTTCTCAGTACAGCCATTCTTATTTCTGTTAACCTTTGGTCTCGTGTGTGCATGGTCTCTTAAGCCATGTCGCTCAAGAAAGAGGCCATCACTATGGGGATTGCTGGTCTAGGAACTCGTTGGACCATTTGGCCTCAGCTCCATACTTTTGGGACTCCTGGAAGATTGTGCCTTCACTCTTGCTACCCTCTACACCTAACAGTTTGCTCAACTCAGCTCAGGTTGAGAGCAGCAAATCCTTAAAAGAAAAAAAAAGGCAGATATATGTGTTTTGGATGTTGCCCTGGAAACTGCAGTCCCCCCCAGAAGAAATCTGTCAGATGATTTAGCATTTAATAGACCACACAGACTTGAAACAGCAGGACCCCGGAGCAAAGGAGTTTGGAGACAAAGGATGCCCTATGCATGTGGGGATTTAATTTTGGTGAGAAAGAGAAACATGCTTCTTGGCTCTTTTCATGTGTCCTAACAGGGAAACTCTTGGAGCCCAAATGTAGAGATAAGGAGCTATGTCCATTTGGCCGGGTGGGGGTGGGGAGTGGAGCTGGCCAGTTAGGCCTGGGAACAGGTTTGCATCTGCCTAGAATTTACGAGCAATCGCAGCCTATTTTTCTTGTGCTTTTTGTCTCAAAAGAAAACTGTTACTAACAACCAAACAGAAGGTAAAGTTCAACTCCGCCACAGGGGTCTTACTTGAATACTCTTTTGTCTACATTTTATTTTTTTTTGCAGCAAAAGGTGGGGCAAATGCTGAATGAACACAGGGATGCAGATTTCCCATCTAAAACATCTGTTAGTGATAGTTTAGGTTTTTTGTTTTGTTTTGTTTTTTGTTTTTTGTTTTTTTTTTTTTTTTGACAGGCAGAGTGGATAGTGAGAGAGAGAGAGAGAGAGAGACAGAGAGAAAGGTCTTCCTTTGCCGTTGGTTCACCCTCCAATGGCTGCCACGGCTGGTGCGCTGCGGCTGGCGCACCGCGCTGATCCGAAGGCAGGAGCCAGGTGATTCTCCTGGTCTCCCATGCAGGTGCAGGGCCCAAGCACTTGGGCCATCCTCCACTGTACTCCCTGGCCACAGCAGAGAGCTGGCCTGGAAGAGGGGCAACCGGGACAGAATCCGGTGCCCCGACCGGGACTAGAACCCGGTATGCCAGCGCCGCTAGGTGAAGGATTAGCCTATTGAGCCACGGCGCCGGCCAGTTTAGGTTTTATTTTGGGAACATTCAGCATCTTTGAGGAACCAAATGGTTTCGTGGGTCTGGCACTGGCCTGAGCATTTGCTTATGTGGGCTCTGGTCTCTGGTCATTAACAAGATGTCCAGTTTTGAGTGAATCCCTTATATGTGCACTTTCTGCTTCGTGATTACTATTTGAAATAGAGGGTTTCTTCCTGTTTACTTTCAAGAGACGACTTAATAATTTTGAATAGATGGTGACACCTCAAAGGAATAGTACTTACAGATACATGTTGTTCTCTGTGGCGACAGTGAGCTCCTTTTTCTTATTGCTATTTGATGACTGTTGTAGAAATTTGCCTAGGGATGGGTGTTTTGAGAGAGTGCCTGGATCAAGTCTCATCTACTTGTCTTCCAATTTAGCTTCCTGCTAATGTGCACCCTCGGAGGCATCAGATGATGGCTCAAGTAGTTGGGTCCCTGGATTGGAGCCTGGATTGAATTCCGGGCCCCAGGCTTCAGTGTGGCTCAACCCCAGCTGCTGCAAGCATTTGGGAAGCGAGCCAGTGGATGGAATATCTCTCGCTGTCTTTCAAATAAATTAAAAATAAATAAATAAAAATAATTTTAACAGTAGGTCTAATAGGCTTGTGGTCACTCTGGCCTCCCTGAAGGACTGCCACCCACAGGGCATTCCACTGTGGTTTGTCCATTTGTTCATTCCTTCAGAGCGCAGTAAAGAGCTGCTAGGCATCATGGGTGCAGACAAAGGGGAATAAGATAAGTCTTTGCCTCGGGATGCTGAAATTCTGGGTCGAAGCCAGTTCTGACCACACATTGTGGAGTGGCACCATACATGTGGTAGGTTATAGGGGTAGGTGCAGAGTAAGGTGTGAGACCAGGAGGAGGCAGGGCCTGCTCACAGGGCTTTGGGCACTCATATTTTCACCCACTGTGAAGAGCGTCTGCATACCGAGGGGCCTGGCAGTGTTGGTGGAGCTTGGTGCTATCAGCAAAGGCAGCGAGCTTCTCCACAAGTGACTCAATAAAACAGTGCCAAGGCAGGTAGTGGTTCTGATTCCTACATGGAGGGAGGAACCTGCTTTTAGGCCTCCACTGCCCTAAATTTCCTGTATCCATAGAAGTGCTAAATAGTGGAGGTCTTTGTTCTCCTGCCCACCATGGGACACTTGGATTAGGGGATGGAGTTTGTGGGGTCAATTGGTGGGAAGCACGTGGGGCTCTGGAATCGGGCAGCTCTTGGTCTTGTATTCTGCACACGCCACTTGTGAGAGGCTGAGCTGGGCTCCCAGCTGGCCCCAGAGCCCACATTTCCAGTCATGCGTGTTCCCCTCTCTGAAGGCGAGGTTACCTCTCAGGGTTCCCAAATACAGGTTCTCTCCCTACCCCTGTCCCCGGCTCTCCTTCTTGGAGCTTTAAACACTGTCATCTGCATGCATCCTGTTCATTCCCTTCCTTTCTCCTTAAGTCTGAGCTCTGGGATGTTGTGGGTGTAAAGTCCCTCTGGCACCTGCTGGGTGAATTTTCCTGGGAGTGCTAGGTCAGTTGTTAGGATGGCATGGGTGCCTTCTGTTGGCAGAGTAGGGGAGGTCCTACTAGGTTTCGCCATTTCTGGTAGGGTCTGAGATGCTGGCTGTGAAACCTTTTGACTGGTGGGGGTCCGTGTTTCTCTGACCCACTGAGAACTTTCAGACATGTGGTTGTGGTTCAGTCCATCTTGACTGAACCCCGGCTGCTGATTAGACTGCTGTGGGAGAGTGGGGATGAGCAGTGTGGACTCACTTCATTCCTGGAGCTTCAGCAAGGGTGTGAGTCTTTCGATAGACTGAATGTCTACTTCTCTGTGTCTTCCTTTTCCTTTTTCTATTTATCTGAGAGGCAGAAAGATGCACACACACACACACACACACACAGAGTGCTCCCAACTGGTTAACTCCTCAGTGGTTAACTGGTTAACTCCCCAATGCCTGCAATGGCAGGGCTGGAGATAGGAGCCAGGAACTCAATCCAGGTCTCCCACTTGGGTGGCAGAAATCAAGTCACTTGAGTCATAGCTGATTTCCTCCCCAGAGTCCACAGCAGCAGAAAGCTGGAGTCAGGAGCTGGATCTGGGTATTGAACCCAGGTACTCAGATGCTGGATGTGGGTACCCTAACCATTAGGCTAAATGCCTGCCCCCCCTGCCTCCCTCTTTCCAGGGACATCCTAGACCTGTCATTCTGGGAGCTTTCCTTCCTGGAGACACAATGTACTTATTCTTTTAATTTGTTCACAGGATGAGGACATGAAAAGAAAGTTTCGGAGTCTCCTGTCTGAGGAAGATAAATCGGTGGCTGTCTCCCAAGTCCCAGACCAGGTATTCCTGACGATCGATGACCATTAAACACAGGCTAGCTTTGGGTAGCTGATGAGCAAGGATAAGGAGTTGAAAGTCTCCTGAGGAGCAATTTTGTAGCCTTTTAAGGGCTAACATAGAAGATACTTTGTTTCAAGTTGATCTGCATAGGCATCCTCAGAAGACTTAATAGGGTATGTTTCATGCATGGAGAAGCAGTGGGGCCAGCCTTGTGGTGTAGTAGGCTAAGCCTCGCCTGTGCACTGGCATCCCATATGGGCGCTGGTTTGCGTCCCAACTGCTCCACTTCCAATCCAGCTCTCTGCTATGGCCTAGGAAAGCAGTAGAAGATGACCCAAGTCCTTGGGCCGCTGTACCCGTGTGGGAGACCTGGAAGAAGTTCCTGGCTCCTGGCATTGGATCAGCCCAGAACCAGAGGATGGAAGATCTTTCTCTCTGTCTCTCCTTCTCTGTCTGTAACTCTGCCTCTCAAATAAATAAATGAATAAAATGAATAAAAACTCTGCCTCTCAAATAAATAAATGCATGAAAACCTAAAAAAAGAAGCACAGCTAGGGATTGTCATTAGGTCTCCCTGCAAGGCAAGGATGGAACCCTCCATCACAGGCTGAAATTGGAATTTGTTGGAAACTTCAAATTTTGGGCAAGCGGTTAATGATTTATTGCAGTTTTATTCTTCTGTAGTTCTTTGTAAGTTCTCACCTATTACTTCTTTTTTTTTTTTTTTTTTATGAGAGATAAACTTTTAATGAATTGATACTTCTGCATGTACTTATTTTCTACATACATAAATATACACATATAATGCTTACAGTGATTTTTTTTGTTTGTTTGTTTTTTTTTATCTTTTATTTAATGAATATAAATTTCCAAAGTACGACTCATGTGTTACAATGGCTTCCCCCCCCATACCGTCCCTCCCACCCACAACCCTCCCCTTTCCCACTCCCTCTCCCCTTCCATTCACATCAAGATTCATTTTCGATTATCTTAATATACAGATCAGCTTAGTATACCTTAAGTAAGTATTTCAACAGTTTGCTCCCACACAGAAACATAAAGTGAAAAATAATAGATGATTTTTTTTTAAATGATGATGAAATCAGATCAGACCTATTGTCATGTTTAATCCCAGTGAGAGTCAAGTTGGGAATAGATAATTTCTTTCTTTCTTTTTTTTTTTTTTTTTTTACAGAAGATCAGTTTAGTGTACATTAAGTAAAGATTTCAGTCGTTTGCACCCCCATAGAAACACAAAGTGAAATATACTGTTTGAGTACTCGTTATAGCATTAAGCCTCAGTGTACAGCACGTTAAGGACAGAGATCCTACATGAGGAGTAAGTACACAGTGACTCCTGTTGTTGACTTTACCAATTGACACTCCTGTTTATGGCATCAGTAATCTCCCTATGCACCAGTTATGAGTTTCCAAGGCTATGGAAGCCCCTTGAGTTCTCCGACTCTTATCTTGTTTAGACACGGTCATAGTCAAAGTGGAGGTTCTCTCCTCCCTTCAGAGAAAGGCACCTCCCTCTTTGAAGACCTGTTCTTTCCACTGGGATCTCACTCACAGAGATCTTTTTGCCAGAGTGTCTTGGCTTTCCATGCCTGAAATACTCTCATGGGCTTTTCAGCCAGATCCGAGTGCCTTTAGGGCTGATTCTGAGGCCAGAGTGCTATTTAGGACATCCGCCATTCTATGAGTCTGCTGAGTATCTCACTTCCCATGTTGGATCACTCTCCCCTTTATTTATTCTATCGGTTGGTGTTAGCAGATACTAGACTTGTTTATGTGCTCCCTTTGACTCTTAGTCCTTTCATTATGATCAATTGTGAACTGAAATTGATCACTTGGAGTAGTGAGATGGCATTCGCACATGCCACCTTGATGGGATTGAATTGGAATCCCCTGGTATGTTTCCAACTCTACCAATTGGGGCAAGTCAGCCCGAGCATGCCCCAAATTATACATCTCTTCCCTCTCTTATTCCCACTCTTATGTTTAACAGGGATCACATTTCAGTTAATTTTCAACACTTAAGAATAACTGTGTGATAATTACTCACCTATTACTTCTTTTAGTGAATGATATCTCCCCATCCCCCACTGTTCCCTCCCAGCTTTATAAATGGGAAAACAAAGAAAGATCATCTTCCCATAAAAGAGCAAGACTTGAGGCTCCTAGGAGAGGTGTTATTGTCTTTTTAAATACGATAATTTAGGGGAAGATGACCCAGAGGGGACTGGTTATGCTGCTTACTTATTATTTTTCTAATTTGAGACAAAGGGAGAGAGAGAGAGAGAGAGAACTGTCACCCATTGGGTCAGTCCACAAATGCCTGGAATGGCCAGAGTTGGGCCAGACTGAGTATCTGGGAACACAATCCAGGTGTCCCCATGAGAGTGACCAGGGACCCAATCCTTGAGCCACCATGTGCTGCCTGTGAGAGTCTGCATTAGCAGGAAACTGCTTACTTTTGATATACAGATGTTCTTCCCACATTCCAATAAAACTCTTATTTTTTTATTTTATTTTTTTTAATTTTCAATTGTCTTTATATACAGAAGATCAATTTAGCATGTATTAAGTAAAGATTTCCACAGTTTATACCCACACAGAAACACAAAGTGTAAAATACTATTTGAGTACTGGTTATAGCATTAATTAAACACCTAAGAGTAATTGTGTATTAATTACAGAGTTCAACCAATAGTTACAATAAAACTCTTTTAAAGTCTTTTTAATTTTAATTATTTTTAGTTGTTTTATTTGAAAGACGCAGAAACAGATCTTCCATCATTGGTTCACTCCCCAAATGCCTGCAACAGCTGAGAGTGATCCATGCCAAAGCCAGCAATCAGGAACTCAAACCAGGTCTCCCACATGAATGGCAGGGACCCCGTCCCTCCCCCAGGTGTGCATATCGGAAATGGATATGGGATGCGGGTGTCCCAACACCTAGTGAGCCACTGAACCACTTTCCTGCCTACCCTCCACACCCTTGCCCAGTTAACCTATGTAAACTTGAAAATAACATAAAACTCACTGTATACACAATGTATTGAACATCCAGGCTTAGCAACACAGCACACTGCAGAGTGTGCTCTGCACTCACGGAGAGCCTGGGACTGAGTGGGAGCTTGGCGGCTGCTCCTCTTGCTGCTGCTGCCTGGTGTCAAGAGAGAGGATCCTGGCCGGCGCCGCAGCTCACTAGGCTAATCCTCCACCTTGTGGTGCCAGCACACCGGGTTCTAGTCCCGGTCGGGGCGCCGGTTTCTGTCCCAGTTGCCCCTCTTCCAGGCCAGCTCTCTGCTATGGCCTGGGAGTGCAGTGGAGGATGGCCCAGGTGCTTGGGCCCTGCACCCCATGGGAGACCAGGAGAAGTACCTGGCTCCTGCCATCGGATCAGCGCGGTGCGCTGGCCGCAGCGCGCCGGCTGTGGCGGCCATTGGAGGGTGAACCAACAGCAAAGGAAGACCTTTCTCTCTGTCTCTCTCTCTCACTGTCCACTCTGCCTGTCAAAAAAAAAAAAAAAAAAAAAAGAGAGAGAGAGGATCCTAGCACACGGTGCTGGCCCAGGGAAAGAGCAGCATCCAGAGTGAGGTTCTTTTGCATGCTTATTTCACATTTAGGGCTTCTCAGCTTCTCATCCAGATGGAGGCTGAAGTACTTGAGTTTCTGCCACCCAAATGGGAGACCTGGATGGAGTTCCTGGCTCTTGGCTTCAGATTGGCCCAGATCTGCCTGTTGTAACCATTTGAGGAGTGAACCAACAGATAGAAGATCTCTCTGTGCCTCTCCCTCTCTCTTCCTCTGTTTCTCACTCTGCCTTCAAATAAATAAATAAATACATATTTTAAAACAAATAAGAATTATCAGTAGATAAACATGTCAGAGTAGGATAAGGTGTGGTAGTAATAAATTTGTCATGATAACTAGTAATTTTTTAAAAAGAAGTATTTATGTATTTGAAAGGCAGAGAGAGAGAAAGAGAAAGAGAGGGCTTCCATCCACTGGTTCACTCCCCAAATGGCCAAAACAGCCAGGACTGGGCTGTGCTGAGTCAGGAGGCAGGAACTCCATCCTGGTCTCCCACGTTGGGGCAGACGCCCAGCTAATGCCTTCATATGGGATGCCGGCATTGCAGGCAGCTGCTTAACCCACTGCACCCCAACCTTGGTCCCAGTAATTCTTGGTGTTAGAAGGTTCACATGGAATGCCCTTGATTTACTAGAAGCATATTGAGGAACCTTGGTAGAAGCCATTGATTTGCTTTTGAACACGGCTCCTTTCTCTCCTTCATTTCCAGCCTTCCACTAGTCAAAAGCGGCCCCTTGAAGAAGAAGCAGAGAATGCTGAGGCCACAAAGCGCCGGACCGTGTGTGCTGCTGTGTCGTAACCCCGTGGTTTGAACATGAAAGAAATGTACCTGCTTTCATTCCGTTGTCATCTTTTTTGTTTCCCTCAATCTGGGTCTTATGATTTGTATTTTAATTATGGAAATAATTGCTTCTCCACAATCACTGATACACAATTAAAAATCTGATGGAACCTGGGCTCTGTGTGGGCGCTTGATGAATGGTTTTTGAGTTGAATGCCTGCTCCCTCCCCCCCAGGTTGCTGTGTGCCATTCATCTGGAGCCCTGCTGAGGCTGTCATCACCAGGCTGGCTCTCCGGATGTCACCATCTTCATCTGAATACACATTCAAAAGGCCCCTTAGAAAGAGTGGAAAAGGCACAGCGAGGCTGGGGTGGGATTTGCAGTGGCAGGCTGCACTTGGAGATGCCAGGGACCTCGGTGTGTGTAATACAAGCCAACTTTCAGTTCTCATCCTCACCCTCGTAGAGTTTCTGGAACTTCGGGCTGGATAAGTTGTAAAATTCAGAACTTTTGCAAGTTTAGGTAGAGCATCTCTACTGTATTTGTATAAGGGAGTCCTGTAGCCAAACAGGAATATTTCTGCAGCAAGGATCCATGGGAAAAGAGGTAGAGAAGAGTTACACATACTCCCATATCTTTTCTGCCAAACGATTTATGGATGACTCAGGTCTCAGAGCAGATATGAGCTATGTGGGCAGACCAGGTTGACCTAGTAATGAGCACAGGAGGCCTGGGCAAAGCCCTGTCCATGGTTGGTCTTGTACTCCTGGTGACCCTCTGAGCCAGGTTCCTCCCACCACCATCACGTACAGGCAAGGAACCCGGGTGTAGAGGAGTGAGGTAGCTTGTCCAACATCACACAACTGACAAGTGGCAGCACTGGGACTCAACCCAGTTTTTTCTGACTCTAATACTAACATTTTTTGTCCTCTTCGTCACATATTGAGTCAGAACCAGGGGTTTGACTCACACTGGCAAAGCCCACAAGAGACTGAAGAAAAAAAATTAAAAATTTTTTTTGTTTGTTTGAAAGAGAGAGAGAGAGAGAAAGAGAGAGAGAGAGAGAAAACAGCTAGGAATCTGACATCCTCTGGTTTACTTCCCAAATGCCCAAATCAAGAGTCTGGAAGTACATTTGAGTCTCCCGTGTGGATGGCAGGGACCCAAGGACCTGAGCCATCATCTGCTGCCTTCTAGGGTGTGCGTTAGCAGGAAGCTGGACTCAGAACCACAGCTGGAACTGAAACCCCCACACTCCGGTATGAGATATGAGTACCCCAAGTGGTGTCTTTAATTTTTTTTTAAGATTTATTTTTGTTTTATTTGAAAGGCAGAGTTGCAGACACAGAGAAGGAAAAACAGAAATCTTCCATCTGCTGGTTTACTCCCCAGATGGCCAGGGCTGGGCCAGGCTGAAGCCAGGAGCTTCATCTGAGTCTCCCACATGGGTGCAGGGGCCCAAGGATTTGGGCCATCTTCCACTGCTTTTCCAAGCACATTAGCGGGGAGCTGGATTAGAAGTGGAGCAGCTGGGACTCAAACCAGTGTCCATATGGGATGCCGGGACTGCGGGCAGCAGCTTGATCTGTGTCACAACGCTGGCCCCCCAAGTGGCATCTTAACTGCTGTGCCAAATGTCTGTCCTAAAGAAGATATCCTTGTCTGTTCTCCCAGGGTGTTCAGTTCCTGCAGATGGGCTGTAGGGATAGCCCTGTGATCTGTGGAAGTTGTAACATCTTGGTGACAAGAAAGAGAAATCTGTCCCAATTATTTTATGTAAGGGGGGATTTGTTTCATGATTACAAATGGCTAGACCTGGAAGCCATCAAGAGTGCAAGTGGTTGGAAAAGCTAACTATTTTTATTTTTTTTAAAGATTTATTTATTTGAAAGGCAGAGTCACAAAGAGACAGAGGCAGAGAGAGAGGTCTTCCACCCTCTGGTTCACTCCCCAGATGGCTACAACAGCCGGAGCTTTGCCAATCTGAAGCTAGGAGCCAGGAGCTTCTTTCTTGTCTTCACGCAGGTGCAGGGCTCAGGTATTTGGGCCATAGCAGAAAGCTGGATTGGAAGTGGAGCAGCCAGGTTGTGAACTGGCGCCCATATGGGATGCTGGTGCTGTAGGCGGCGGCTTACCAGCTATGCCACAACGCCAGCCCTGGCTTTTTTTTTTTTTTTTTTTTTTAATTAATAGAAATAGAGAGCTCCCATCTACTGATTCACTGTCACAATGCCCACAAGAGTTAGGTCTTAGACTGAGCCATGTCTGGGCCAGGGCTGAAGCTGGGAGCCAGGCACTCAATCGAGGTCTCCCATGTAAATAACAGGAATCTAATTACTTGAGCCATTACTGCTGCCTCCCAAAGTCTGTATTAGCAGGAAGCTGGAGTGAAAAGCAAGAACTATGTATTAAACACAAGTACTTCCATATAGGACACAAGTGTCCTAACTGCCAAGCTAAATGCCCACCCCAGTGTGGCTCTTTTCTCTTTCTGACCCATGATTGTGCGTTTTTTAACTGCATCATGGATTTTAGCCCACATTGTAGCTTGCTGGCCATGTTATGAATTGAGCACCCTTGCTTGGGTGGCAGGGGTGATTCCTTGAGGGCAAGGTGAGGGGCACACAGCTGTTGTGCTGGCAATCAGAAATGAGAGCTTGGCAATTGCCATTGGAAGTACATACAAGCATTTTGGGGTTTGGCTGGCCTGGGACAGGGGCTAGATAAAAGATTTAGGTGGTTTGCTTATTTAAAGGAATGAAGCAGAGATTGCCAAACTTAATGAGTTTTAGCTCATTTGAATATTTAATGTGGAGGCTATGTTTTTCAAGGGCAATTTTTCTCTTGGGGCAGGTAGCCTGCCCTTCTGGTTCCAGAGCACTTTTTTTTTTTTTAATTCATTTATTTATTTCAAAGTCAAACTTACACAGAGAGAGGTGATGCAGAGAGAGGTCTTCCATCTCCTGGTTCGCTCCCCAATTGGCTGCAACGGCCAGAGCTGTGCTGATCCAAAGCCAGGAGCCAGGAGCTTCTTCTGAGTCTCCCATGTGGGTGCAGGGGCCCAAGGACTTGGGCCATCTTCCACTGTATTCCCAGGCCATAGCAGAGAGCTGGATCAGAAGTGGAGCAGCGGGGAATCAAGCCTGTACCCATACAGGATGATGGCCGTGCAGGTGGCGGCTTTACCCACTATGCCGCAGTGCCAGCCCCTCCAGAGCACTTTGAGTCAGCTCTGTCTGATTATAAAACTACCTTGGTGGCTTCATAATGGCCCCCAAAGGTGTCCGCATCCTAAGAATCCCAGAACTGTGAACACATTCCTGTTTATGGCAAAAGTGACTATGTAAATGTGGTTAAAGATCTGGAGGTGGGGCAATTATCCTGGCTCATCTGGTGGGTCCTTGTAATCACAAAGATCCTCTCAAGGATACAGGAGGAGTCAGGGACACAGGAGCTGGTGATGGGATGACTGAGCAGAGTTTGGAGTGATATGCTTCGAAAATGAAGGAAGGGACCACAACCCAAGGAAAACAGGCAGCTTCTAGAAGCTGAAAAAGCAAGCAAATGAATTCTTGCTTCAGAAGAATTTAATATGACTTTAATCAAGTGGAACTGATTTCAGGTTTTTGTGCTATAGAGCCACATTAGGTGATACATTTGTGTTGTTTTAAGCCGGCGCCGCGGCTCAATAGGCTAATTCTCTGCTTGCGGCACCGGCACCCCAGGTTCTAGTCCCGGTTGGGCCGCTGGGTTCTGTCCCGGTTGCCCCTATTCCAGGCCAGCTCTCTGCTGTGACCCAGGAGTGCAGTGGAGGATGGCCCAGGTCCTTGGGCCCTGCACCCGCCTGGGAGACAGGAGAAGCACCTGGCTCCTGCCTTCGGATCAGTGCAGTGCGTCGGGCACAGCGCGCCAGCCACAGCAGCCATTGCGGGGTGAACCAATGGAAAAGGAAGACTTTTCTCTCTGTCTCTCTCTCTCACTATCCACTCTGCCTGTCAAAAAAAAAAAAAAAAATTATGTTGTTTTAAGCCACTTAGATTGTGGTAGTGTGTTACAGCAGGTATAGGTAGCACTTAGCAAGGGTAGATATCAGCTCTGGTAGGGGGCTGTTGTCTCTACTTCTCCTAACCTCACTGTACTTTTTTCTTTTGATGGAATTCTTTTCCTTTTCCCGTGAAGTCATGGGAAAGTGGGAGGATGGTAAAAGTAACTGACCTCTCACCAGGGAAGCTAAAGGTTCCTAGGACTCTTTCAGTAGAGCTCCTCCCACTGGCATCCCCAATGAAGGTGGGTGCAGGACTTTGAAGCATGAGCAAATGGAGACAGGATGGCAACATTAATGGTGGCAGCAATTAGTGCTAACCTGAGCTCTGCACTTCCTAACTTGAGCTTTGTGTCAGTTCAGATTGCTCAGCCTTTGTCCCCTTATCTGTAAGATGGGTACAGTGAGAGTACCACCTCCAATGCTAATTCTGTTTGTGAGGATTCTGTGCAGGAAGGTCCCTAGAGTGCCTTGTATTCGATGAGGGATTTACCAGTTTTGGCTTCCATCGTTAAAGGTGAGAGAGCCATGTAAGTAGTCCGAGGGAGTCATGGACTGTTCTTGAGCAGCTTGGCACACATGATGGCAAATGGGGATGCTTTTGAACAAGATTTGGGAAGTGCCACATCTGGGGTTTGTGGTGGAGCAGAGGTGGAGGGCTACTTCCCGGAGGCTGAAGTCAGTGCCACTCTGTGTACAACAGGCTGATTGCTCCATGTAGACCCACTGTGTGCCTACAGGATGGTTCAGCGGACAGCTCTGGCTCGCCCTGTCCTTCGTGCCCCTTCCAACTGTAACCCTTCTCCCTTCCCTGCCTCTTTCCCATGTCTTTCTGGCAGGGAGGACCCTTGCTCCTTTCTGGAGGACCACTGGGTAGCCAGGTCTCACCAATCTGGCTGTGGTGATTGGCTCAGGTAGGGGAGTGTGGCCCAAGTGGGTCCAATGAAAATCAACTGTGGCTGGAACTACGGGTTGAGCATCCCTAATATGAAAATCCAGAATCTGAAAGAGGACTCACACGAGGCCACAAATGGTAACTTTCATGCCAGGAAACTTTGTCTCATGCCTCAAATTATTAAAAAATATTGTATACCATTGCCTTAAGATGTATATGAAATGCAAATGAATTTTG